TAACTCTAACCCTAACCCTTACAACTCTAACCCTAACCCTAACCTCATTTAATTAAGTTTTTCATCTCGTAAACCCTAACCATATCCTTTCAATTTTTAACTAGGGAACCCTAACCTTTAACCCTAACTCCATACCCTACGGAATCCGCCCCCCCCGAACAGATTTATTTACCCACAGGAGGTCGTGAGGCCTGTTAATCATACAGGACAGAAATGGTTTCTTTTCCTAATGAGGGGAACTTTTCAGTTATTTAAAAATATGTAACACTTTCAATTCCTAAATCCTTTTGCCCACTTGGAGCATATAATCTAAAAATGAGAAGAAAAAAATCCAAAAGTTATGTGGTGTTGACCAAGCATTCAGGCGCACGGACTCCTGAAATTCGCTACAAATCGCAGTTACCGGCTTCCATATAGGACTCTTCTGGGTTCTCGGGGTTCCCGGCCCACCACACTTCCTTCCCTGCCCATCCATTTAACCCAAAAAGGGTCGAGCGACCATGCAAGGGAGGTAACCGAGACAGGCCCCTAAGCCCTGGCCGCCGAGTCGGCCACACGTCTCGAACCTGTACTTAGGCGCTCACCTGGACTTCGCGGACAGTCCCAGCAGAAGAGCTTACCCGTTTGGCTAAGGTACTGTTGGTAATTTAGGATGGAAAATTAACTGCTTTATAGTTGGAATGCACAGCTGAAAAAAGCTGAAAAAAGAGAGACGGCACTGGGATTCGAACCCGTGACCACCGTGTCTTTCAACACCCAACTTAACCACTCGGCCATTTCACGAGATAATAACTGAGTGTTTATATAAGAACCTTACACTGCGAATACGTAACGTAACACGATGCACAACTCGCTTCCCTTGTCAGAGTTAATTGGTTGTTATACGGCAAGTCATTTTTTTTGTCAAGGTGTGTGATGAACATTGCAAAGCATCAGATGCATAGAGATTCGCCGAGATAAACGCAATTTAAATGCGAAACAAAATTTGTGTTATAGAATGTCACTCCGCGTTCACAAACTGTTCCCAAGTAAGGCCTTTGTGCTGAGTTTTAACTGACGGAGTCGGCTACCACAACAAATGAACATAATATACATAGGGATGAAATTAAGTTGCGGTATACGAATGAAGCAGCCACAATTATCAGGATGCTGGGAGGAACACTTTGTCGTCAAATTTTCAATTTATGAATTACAAAGCCGGGCACTTCAAAGCTGGTGCAGGACAGGAGATATAATGGGACTTATTTGAGGCTGGGGATTATTATGAGTAGGTACATTCTCTATGCTCACACCACACTAAACCAAACAAACTGCACAAAACAAATACTTCAATGAAAAAACGCATTGGTGTTCCTTTATTGACAAAACAACATCCACTCAAATAAATGCTGGTGTATCACAGTCCGATTTATATGCTTTAATTTTCCTTTAATTAAAAATCAAACTTGGTAAAATCTGTTTTAAAAGACATTTATGAAAGTACATCCCCTCAAGAGAATCACGGGTCTCTATCTTGATTTACATTTTTAAACACAAAGTTATTTCGCGAACCAAGAGTATTGTCTCGTGAACGAGTTCCCTATATACAATAACCAGGAAAAATTAGGCCCATACGAATATACGGGCCTAACGTACTTGAAAACGCCTACAAAATGCTTGGGTTATTTTTCAATGAAAAAATGCTATCAACGTAATGGATATGTATTTAATCATTCTGAGAATCCGAAAGGAACATGGAATCACATGTTTCGCAATATTACCACAAACGGCCAATTGTTTTTAGCCAGTATTCAGGAGTCTGTCACGGGTTAGTTACGTCATTCAGTCTCCGGTCAGAAACTATTCACTATAGTTTCGCACAAATTCATTCAATGCATAACTGTAGCAAGCGCATTACTTTCATTCATTTAACCTCGCAACACAACTCGTAAGTCCACTATATACGGTTCACTTTTGATAAAATGGATAACAACTCTCGTCTGTTTCCAACGTCTGTCAACTGATAAAGGATCATGCTCAAACACCTGTTATTAACTTTGATCAATATTAGCAAGATTCATAAAATTACATATCCATGACGAATTTCACACATTAATGTATTGTACCTCAAGTGATGGTCACATATAAATAACGCCTTGATCCTTTGGATAAAATACTGCATCATTTTACGGCAGAGAAAGTGCATTTTCTCCCCAGACGATAAGGAAATATGATGTTGGTTGTTCGAATTAGGAGCGGGAAAAATTACAGCATGATGAAAGTGGACAACAATGCTTCTACGTTGTGTAGACCTACTGAATGGTGTGAGAAGCACAGTGAAATAGGCAAAAAATGGTAGTAAAGATCCTATATGCAGAAGTGGCTGACACGGCGTGAGCCTCTACTGCCGATAGTCACGGTAAAGTATTACGACCATGAATGCATTAAATCAGTGTGACAATACATCCTTGCATGTATGACCGCAAATTTTCGTAAACTAATTAGAATTTTGGATAACTGATCCAAGTTTTACTTCAAATGGCATGCCACTCTGATTGAGAGCCTACAGTTTTCCAAATCCACTGTGGCTTCATCCAAAATAGAGGGCAGCTGAAACGATCGTCTGATTTCACAGGCTTTTTCAGATTTAGTTTAAGCCCGATGTCAACAGGACAAAATCCAGTGACATACAGATTTACACGGACAGGATTTCTAGGGGCAGATATCACGCGTGGGGCGATTAAAACATTTTAGAAGGCAAATGGGACAAGGGTGGGTGTTTCAATTGCATTGTCAACAAGGAGTGAGGTACTTGCGTATTCCCAATTGTTGGTCAAAAAGAGCAAACAACTGGAGATGTCAGCAGTAAAATATGAAGGGTCTTTTACAAGTAGAATTATCAGTGAAGGACATAATCCAATAGTAAAGTACAATTACATGTCAAAATGTAATCTCCTTAAAAAATATCATCACTAAAACAGCTTCTACAAATGATAAACAATGTGCTTCGGGCTTTTAGTAAGGTAAAATTTGTTTTCACACTTTCTTGAGAAAAACGTACAAATATATCAACAATCACTTTTTTTCTTATTAATTTGTTGCTATATTGTTTATTTAAAAACCACAAAACTTTTAATGAATGGTGGGATGTGCTGTTTTACATTAATGTTTGAAATTTCCCTGCACACACATTATGTCCTCTGTGTAATTTTTTTAACTGCAAGTGAAAATATGTTATGTACATCATTACGATCATGAGGATTAAAATCCCTCTAAAATGAAAAGAATATGGACAAAGTGGATTTGAAGTTCTGGGGCACGAACCATTTAAACAATCAGAGACATGGAGACTATTACACCGTACAAAATAATCTACATGTACGAGAAGACCCAATTTTATGGAAAACTTTGAAACACCCAGACTTCAACCAAATATCTTAAGGCCTCAATCTACAACGACAATCAAGTCAAGATGGCAAAACTTGCCGAGTGTAAAACAAATCCAGTGGCTAAAAAGTCTTCATTTACATCCGTCTCCTTTCTGACACTCTTCCCTTTAATGATATTGGGGAATATATAGGGTGCAATTGTTGGGTCCACAACTCTACAGGTTTCCCTTCATTGACAATACGCAGGGAACGCACCCTACCTGGATGAACCATCTCAACATCGGTAGCTTTCTAAAACTTTGGGTTGAAAGTCAGTGATATCATTCACAAAGCAAAGGGGGTGTTCCGATATTCCAGGTGGGAAAAATGGTAAAAAAATTAACATTCTGTGTCCCTGAAAGAAGTATTTTAACCTTGGAAAACACTAGAAAAAACATACTAAAGCTGCAAGTAATTATAAATTGACAGCTTCATCTTCAGAGCAGTTGCCTGCAACTTCAGATGTGAACCCAACAATTATCTTGTACATTCCTCCTCAACACTCCACTCCAAAGGCATCAGTTTCCAAATAGTATACAAACCTTCATTTCCAAATGCTTCTCTTTGTGCCACATTTGTGTTTATATTCAATATATATATAATTTTTAAAGCCTGTTCCTACCATTTCATATCAAAAATATACGTATTTATATATACTTCCTGATTCCAAAGTGTTTTCTTGTTTAATATGACACCCGACACCTTAGTTGGTCTCATGCATTTTTCAGTCCTATGATATGGCCCCCAAATTAGCAGGCGAACTACCAGGGGACTAAAAGACCTCTCCATTATGTGAAGTGAGTGACTAATTTGTTCAAAAATACTTATATATCATACATCTTAAATATATATACACCAAATTACTGATATCCACCATGAATATAACAAAGACTTCTTACCAAAAGTTGTGCTCCCTACCACAAAATATTTGGACAACTCTCCACAGCGTTGGTTGGAGCGAGTGTGATATGACACCATACAAAATGCACATGTTCAATGATTTTGTTTGATGTCAACATTTGATACAGTGCACAATTAATGATGTTCCTATTGCACCACAGAAAAAAATCCCCCTTGGATGCGACTGTGCAAAATAAGTGACTGCTTTCCCAAGACTCCCACCAAGGGTTGCTCTTTTGGTACTCCTTAGGTGTCTAGTATCTAGTCTTCATCCCATTCTGCAGCATTGATAAACGTGTGGAGACTGGGAAATGTCTTCATGACAAACCTATGACAATATACACGTATTGCCCTTGTGCTGAGTGCACAGTCTCATTTCAATTCTGGCTATTTCTTAAACGCCCAGACTAAATTTGTGGAATTTGAATGTCTTGATCCAATCTTGATTGCAGATACCAATGAAATATCTCTGCCTTTGGGCAAAGAACACAATTGCAATGCTTTCAGAATCAGCCTTGAAACAGGCAGTGCAAGCTAAAAAAGGTAAGCAACAACTCACAAGCATGACAATTGGCACTTTCCAAGGGGGAAAGAGTGCACAGCTGCATCCTGAAACCAGCAAAACTGTATTGTACACTTTTCCCACGATTGCCACCGGTTTTTGTTTTTAGAGTTTCTAAAAAGTAACCCTTGCACAAGTTTGAAATACTGAATGGCTTCAAAAATGAGATACAAAAAGAGCTTCATACGGTCATCAGGTACCAACCTCACAAAATGTCACTGGTATTTGTCCAAATGTGAAGCATGAATTCGGCTAAACACAGCTCCAAACATCAGATCGTGTACCTCAAGTGCTGGAGCATGTACATTCTATATAAATATGTTCCTATATACACCTATTTAAACTTATCAACTATATATACACACATCCATCTCAAAGTTTATTTTTGTCTATCATCCCAAGGCAGTAGTGTGATCCACTAACAAAAATGACCCACAAATATTGGACTGAAAATAAGAGTCAAACCTCGGTGGCTTTAAGATCCAAATTTCTCATTGTCTAAAAGAAAAAATGTACAGGAAAAGAAAAACACACACCGGTAGTGACTTCTGTGAAATTTTTTTTCTTGTGAAACCACAATTTGAACTAAAGCTGACTTTCAATAGACCGATTTAAAAAAAAATCACCCCCGTGAACTTTGACCTCTTCAAACAAATACAAAGAAACTGAATTTCAGTATGGCTTCAATTTGGTTTAGAAAACAAGGAGGACGCTGCGAGTTAATGCATCAGTTGCTTTCAAGGGTGCACATTGAAACAAAATTTCAGCAGGTGAAAGAATAAAAGAAATTAAAAGACACTATTCATATTTTAGATTTAAGAAGCAAACCTTTGATTAAATATATTCAGGTAAAAATTGCATTCATTCTGTACAATAATGATTAAAATATCAACAGCGATTACTACTGAACAGCAGTTATTCTAAAATCTAAATGCCGTGCTGGTTTTGACGATGGACCTGAAAAGATTAAGTTTCCACAACCTCCTGTAGGAATTACTCATAAACTAGAGGTTAAAATTTGTTCATCCGTTGGTAAATGAAAAATTGTTCACTAAAGGTTCACTGAATAAGGTAATTTTCCGTTTAGAAATTAGCCAAGCAAAACATTTGATCCTGTGAGGAACATTTCTGATCCCATTTGTGAAATTTGTGTAAATTACTTTTTGTTTTTTCATGGAATTACGTTAGTCTTAAAAAAACACCATTGATCATTTACAATGAAAATACTTGCAATAATAATTGTAGTTGATCAGCATTACTAATAAATCTCAAAAAGGAGATAAAATCTTTTAAAGCCTACAAGTTTAGAGACACAAGCAGGTATTGTAAACATTCAGTGCATACTGGATTTATTTATTTCAATTATTTATTTCAATTTACATCCTTAAATCTTGATCACTGACTGACGATTTCACATTTCAAAGGTTTGTCTCAGAAATACACAGCCAAAGAAAGAACATGTAAGAATATAAAAATTGGTGCAGATAAAATCATTTAATGACACCGTAAGAACTTAAAATCTTTTCAAAAGCAAGACACATCTAACAGATTAGAAAAAAATAAATCAGGTGATTACAATTTATGCGGCTTGTTAGAAAAAAAAACAAAAACAAATGCAAGGATAAAACTTTCAGAGTGTGTGCTCAACAGTTCAACATCTGTCTTGAATTCCACGGAATGTGCATTGGATCCCTAACAATTAGCACCAATTACATGTGTCGTGCACAATGGTTTAAAAAGTGAATACAATTGGTAATCGTTAATTTTAGGTATATGCCCTTGCAAGAAGACCACATTTTCCTTTACCAGACTCACTGTAAGTTTTCTGACTTCATAACCGAGTGATTATGTCGGCCTCTATGTCGCTAAGATCCAGACTTTTCTTAGGCGACTCACCTACTGATACTGGTGAGGCGGTCCGTTCTGGCTCTGGGGTCCCATTCACTTGGGCCCCGCTTTCATTGGCTGCTTTTTGGGGAGACACAATGGTTGTCTCTGCCAGAACCTTTTGGGGTGACCCTGGGGGCATCTTCGTGGGGGACTTGTTGGGCGAGCCCCCAGGAGTTGGGGTGATGTCTTTCCGAGGCGACCCCTCAGAGGGTGATGAGGGGGACTCCGGCAATTTAACTGGAGAGTGTGGCCGGGAGCCGTCCGATCTGGGCGAAGAACTTCCCTGCTCCTCATTGTTACCCTGTGAGGCGGAGGACGAAGACGACGAAGACTTTTGCAGGGCCTGGGCGGGGCGGGGTGGATCCACCTCACCCGTCTCGTCTGACCTCTCCCCATTGTGTTCGATCACAGCCTCAACCTCCACAATGCCGTTGACAGCAGCTATGCGCTCCTGGCTGGTTGCTGCGCCGTTGCTGAGGGTGGCCACAATGGGCCCATCAGAGGACGATTGGTTCTTCTTCAGATCCTGGACGAGCTGTCGGCATTTCGATTCATACTCGGCATCCAGTGATGCTGCATGCTGTTCAGGAGCAAAAACCAAAACCTGGCTAACACCTGGGGCCAATGTCATTGACCTGCTTTAATACATCAATTCTGCTCAGCAAATACTAGCTTCAATAAACAGATCACGAGCCAAATGCTACAGAGGTCATGTACGTGGTATTCCTGATGCTCTTCTTTGCTTTTCATCATCCGCATAGCAGCTTTTTTGGGGAGCAAGGGTGTTGTTTTATACTAAAGCCCCCCAATTTCAAGCGATACAACTGGTAACCCAGCACCCCAAAGGTAAAAAAAAATCAGTTCCAAATTGCTTCTTAAATGGCATGTAAACCTTCATCATGGTTCAGCCATGTTTGTCTTGCCCCTGTATACCAATTGACAACAGCAATACAACTTTACATATTGATGAAAGGAAACTGACTATTTTGTTCTTCCATTCTCAGGTTGATCACATTAGTATCAGTGGCAGAAAAACAAGACAGCTGCCCCACGATAAACCTCAAAGGCACACAGACATAAAAATCCTGTTTCTCAGCAAACCCTGACTTACCGAATCTTCCTCGGCAGCTAGCTCTTCTTGCAGTTCCTTCATCTGGTTCTCCAGCTCCTCTCGCTTCTTCTGCTGAATCTCATGCAACTGAGTGACCACGAAAAAATAAGGAAGGGTCGCGGTGTAACGATCTTGGTTTTTTTTTCCCCCTTATGGTTTTTAAGTTCAAAAGAAAGAATTTCTACATCATATTTCCAACGGGAATACTTGCAGAATTCTTGAGGGTGAGACTACTGAGGCTCAAATGAAAAATGTTAGGAGGAAATTTTAATGTAAATCTTTTTTTTAGCCTCTTGGTAGGAAGTGAAAAATCTCATCATTATCCAAGAATTAAGTAATACGCCCAGCACCATCTGGCTGGTCTCCCTTACCGTCTGTCGATAGGACACAGCCTGCTGAATATACTTCTGTTGGTTTTCCCTTCGTAATCTGCCACGGAAAAAAAACCAATCCCGAATCTCCATGAATTCATTTCGGGCACGCTGATATCTTAAGTATTTTTGAATACAACAGTCAAACTGTGAACTCTCTCTTTACTTTGGGCAGTGTCACACTTTCAGAATCTATTAACCCTGAAGATAAACAAAAACAAATGGAACCTAAAGGTTGTCCGGAAAATTATGTGCTGGAATGATTTAAGGGCCCTGTTACAGAAGATTCAACTCGATCAAACAGGGTCATCTCCAAATGACTTGCTGTGGCTGTGAATAGTAACCAAGTCTGAGTGAAGTGGCTACAGCTGCCAGCTAGCCACTTCCATAGATGCACATGCCCGTTTCAGCCATAGCTTTAACATTTGGACACAATGTTAGCTTCTAACCTAAACATGGCTCTCGATGTTCGTGCCATCTCCTGGCATTCAGGGCTGCTGTTGCTGTAATGTCATTTAAAACCCCCACTACACAGTTGGGGAATTCCCTGCACAAAACATAAACCTAAATGTGATCTTGATGTAGCCGCATACAAAACAAGTAGGGAAAGACCAAGTCATTCGAGGAATTAATTCCAGCCAAACCACACGGTTAGTCTTTTTTCGTTTTCAAATGCTTCCAAAACCAAGCTTCTGCCCGGAACGGTAGAAAATTGTCAGTTTTCCCCTTCAAGAACAACTCGCGCAGACCCACCTGCTGATTTCCTGCTTGTCGCCTCGCCGCTTGCTCATCTGTTTCAGATCCTCCGCATTCTTTTCATCCAGCCTCTTCCGCAATTCAACTTCCTCCCTGAAAGCAGATTCATAGCACAGTTGGAAACCTTGTTAAAATTTCCATTTCTTTCATGGGTGGGATTTTGAAGTTCACTCGAAGAGTGAAGTGCTTGTCACGAAAGCTGACAGGTTGACGGAGGGAATGCTTTCAAAGTGAACTCACATTTTGAGAAATTTTGTAAAAACAAGGACAGTTTATCACAGTAAAATATTGATGAAAAGCTGTACCTCACATCCCGAAGGTTAGACCGAGTGTTTAAATTATTCCTCCAGATGATGCAAGGGGGCGAGTCAAACAAGAGTTGAAGTCAAAGTTGAATTCACCACAAGTCAAGTCTCAAGTGAGGAAAATAAGTCAAATCACGCATCAGGTCAGAAAAAAAAATGAGGGGAGATCGGTGATTTTGAAATGCCTCCGTTACTGTCTATGTGAAAGGTTGTGGCCTGATTTCAGACTCCCCTTAAGACTTGACATGGGACAGACTTGCGAGGATTAGACTACAACACTAAAGGTCCACCCACCGCCAAGCCTGGCATGAGACAGGGATAGAGGAGGATCTGATCTCTTCACCTGAAAACTTCAGGTTTGCAGTCTTCTATAGTTGAAGAAAAGCTGTCATGAAGTGTTATAAATCTGCCCACTTTTGCAGAATAAACCAAACTCCAAGATGCCCAGAAACATACTGGACTTCAACTCCAAAACTTTTAACCAGGGCCCCGATCCCCATGCTTACAACCTTCCAATTTCATTATTTTTATCAGTCCCTTCCGAGTTTAAAATTTAGAAGTTGGAGAAATCTTCTGATTAGAAACACAAGGCCCAAAGTCAGCGTAGACCAGGGGGATGATTTTAAAAACAATGGGGAATTTTGACAACACGATCGAAGTTGTCAGACTTCACCCTCAATCTCGAGAGAAATAGGAGAGGAATTCCTGTCTGCCTCACCCTCCCACTTCTACAGGTCACGCACCATGGTCATAGGGGTCAAAGTCTATAACCTACTGGCCAAGTTTCCCCTGACCAAATGGTGGTCTTACTTCTTGTGTTGACTGTCCAGCTTGGCCAGCTGTTTTTCATGGACGGCCACCATCAGCTCCATCTGCAGCTCGTAGAGGATCTCGGCATGCTCCTTCTTCAAGTCTCTCTCGTCGGCATAATGCCTCTTGTAGAGGTCGATCAGCGAACTCACCTGGGCTGACTGCTTCTTCAGAAGCTAAGGTGGGTAAAGTGGGTGGCGGGACAGGTTAAGAAGGGGGGGAAGCAATTTGGTGGGAATCTTTCATAAACAACCTTGTCTGATCTAACATGGATGCTGTATTAATACAACCAGATCTGTTTATATCTCAACATTTTGACTAGCATGTTTCAACTCCAATCCAAAGGCTAAAAATTTCTTCCACACACAGCTTCTTTATTACCCTTTATTAAGTCTGGATCCCATACAATCTGCACGGCTGTGGCTCGGGCACAATTTCAGGAACAATACTGCTCAGGTCAGCGTAAAGAAATAAGTTTGAATAACATACCTCGTTCTCCTTATCCCTTGTGAGAGCATCCATTACCTCGTTCAATTGGCGTCTCAACTCATCAATGCTCCTGCAAGGTAACAAATGCCGTTTTTCTTTTTCAATCAGTGTAATACGGTATTGCATACTACTGTGGAGATGTAAAAATTCAATGGATGACACGGCAAGAGGCATGTCATTGTATGACACTTGACTTCAAATTTGCATCCAGGACACTAAACGGGCATAACCAAGATTGCAGACCAGTGCCTTAAGAGAGGGCTGTCACTGTGTACAATCTTTGATTCAATTTAAGAAAGTCTCAAAATGGCTCTAAGCATAACTATGATGAAAATACAGAGGAGACAGTGACCCTTTAAAGCTAACCAAAATCATGCACTGCTACTTGACAACCTGTAAGGAGATATAAAATCCTTTCGAGAAATATTTAACAGCAGACAGTTTGGTGGAAGTTCTGAGTTCAACCAACAGGGGCCAATTTCCTGCAGCCACATAAGTCACCCTCCCCCCCAAAAAAATTCTGCTCAATGCAAACAAGTTTTGATTGGCAAAAAGAAAAAGTTACCAGCTAAAATGCCAATTTCCTGCAGCCATATAAGTCACCCCTCCCCCCAAAAAAATTCTGCTCAGCATAAACAATTTTTGATTGGCAAAAAGAAAAGGTTACCAGGTGAAAATGCCATGAAATGTGCACAGCATTTGGCTGGTTCTCAGCTGTCTTTTGCCCCAACACATTATGTGCTTAGCATTATAGGCTCCTGAAAAAAATTGCTGCATAACAAAGTTCTCTTTTTCCAAAGACTTCTAAAATTTCACCGTTGGAATGAAAGATCATTCCTGCTGACTTAAATTAAGGACAAACTAAAAACATTTGAGTGAGATTTACTAGCTCCAATACATCAGGATTCTTCTCGAAATATTTTGATCTAAATTTAAAACAATTTTTCACTCCAAACACCCAGTCTCTAGACTCAGAGTATCAACGGATGTGCAAAAGAAGAAGAGAAAAATTGGCTAGTGACTGACTGTCCCTTCTTGGCCGCCTTCTTGAGCTGGCGGGCCTGCTTTTTGTTCAGGGCCTTGAAGGCCTTCTCGTGCGACTTCTGCATCTTGGCCAGCTCCTTGGCGTGGGTGCGCTTCGTCTTGCTCTGCTTCTTCTCCTCCTTCTTGATCAGCTTCTCCAGCTCCAGGTTCAGCCGCATCACCACCTTCTTGTATTTCTGAGGGTGTGCAGATGTGTTCCAAGAGAGAGAGAAAAAAAAGGAGGATTCAGTGTAATGCTGATGCGTCAATGCAGTGCGCAAGGGGCAGTTGCAATCGAGTCATCACATACTGATCACAGGTCAACTCAGATATCAGTCAGACCGTGTAAATCCATCAGGAGACCAACCCAAGACCAGCACAAGACCTCCAGTCTGAATCCAAGTCACAAGCTATTCAAATGAAGGCATTCCTATTTGGTCCCGGCTGGTCTTCCGGCTGGTCTTGTATCTTGCCTTGTGACTAGTCTCACTATAACACTGACAAATAGGGTCACAAGTACAAAAGTTACTTTTTTTCACAATGCATTTAAATAGCTTGTGAGTTGAACAGAGACTAGTGATTAGTGTTTGACCTGTGAGTGTCTTGCAGCTGGCTAGATTACGGCACAAACAGTGACCATACAAATGAATATGGAGTATCTTAGTACTTGTATTTGCCAAGTGCTAACACTCATAAATTCAGCCAGTGAAAAATCTGTCAAGCAACCCCCATCCTATCCCTGTGATCCCAACCATTCCAACTTTTGAAGAATTTTTCCTTACTAAAAGTCCAGCAAATTTAACAAAACTCTAGAGAACTCGGGTCGCCTCCCTGACTAGGTCTACAACTTGATGAGTTACTCCACTACTCACCTTGTGCTCTTTGATATCTTCAAGCCTAGCTGCCGTTATCTCTTCTGCTTGGTTAAAAAAAAAGGAAAGAAAGTTAGAGACTGGTCAGCTCACAACTGTATAAAGGAACTATGTTCGGAAGAGAAGGGAGGCGAATTGGTGCATTTGTGAATTTGTAAATTGATTACTGGTTTACAGTACCAGAAAAAATAGCTCCAAAATTTGCATACTCAGAAGACCGAGGTGAGTACTTGCCCCCCAAGGCAGTTAGGTACTACCTCTTTATGCAACTTAGATGAGTTTTGACATCTTTCGTATTAGAAAAAAGAGGTGTGAAGGCATTACACTTCGGTGAGAAAAAAGAAATTGATTTCGAGATTAGGACCACCAGGCCTCAAGTCAAATCTTCTCCAAATTTGCATAACACAACAAATCCGGGTACATTCAGACATATTTTGCATCCCTGCCCCAATTCACAATTTCTTGTTGCTACTTTTTTTATAGAGAAATTATTAGAAGTTATAATTCAGGTGTTACAGAAGTTAACACTCCACACCTTTTAGGAGTTAACCAAGTTAAGATTTTTTTCTGCCATCTTAAATAGTATTAATTCAATTGTTGGGGAACTGTTTTTTCCCCAGAGGAAATCTAAATGTAGTTGCAAAATTACGATAAAGCTACATAAACTGTTTCCTGTTCAGATCTTATTTCTAAAGGTGAAGCCCACTTCTGTAAAATCCAAGCAATGACGCACAAGAATGCTGCATTCAAATGAGTGATATGTGTGCTCACCGGGCAGGGTAGGCCTATTATATGGCCTACACTGTCTAGTCGGCTACATGTAGACTTTGAGTAGCTGAGTGATTCAGCCTGAGTCACCAGTGGCCCAATTTGAGTCATTGTTGATGAAGTGAGAAACGATAATCTGAGTATACAGACATTCATGATCACAGTTCTTGACAGTTTTCTCAAAGCAAGCAAAAAACGTTATAGATCATATCATTTACCTCCTATCTGGAAAAGCTTCCAATGTGGAGAACAACTTGTGATGTTTTTTGTGTGATGTGTGTGTGTGAAAGGACAACCAGTTCAAACAGATCAACTGATCAAGTTTTACTGGTGGGTTCTTTGGCTTATACAATGAATTTCATTTAATTTATTAAAAGGTACACGAATAAAAATATATATCAGGGATGCATGATCTACAAATGTAAAAAAATTGCATCAAAACAATCCATCATTAACAAACAAATTACACAAAACATGAAAAGTGCAGAAGTCTGTCTGAAAGTAAAAAAGGGTGCAAAGGTTTGGGTGATAAAGAAATCACTCGTGCAACTATAAAGTTATGTCGGAATGGTCCCATGCATTAAATCAAACTGACAAAAAACACTACTCTAACACTACAAAATTGCACACAAGAACATCAATGTTTATTTACTGACAGTAAATGATAGTGCAGGGATTGTAACATATTGGGGGCACTCAGATAAGAAAGAAAAAAAATAATATTACATCAAGAATGATGGCACTCGTCTGTTTTTGAAACACTAAACGAGGAAGAGAAATCTGAGGTTATACACGAAGAGACCAATCCAGAAACTACATGTACATGTACTAGCATTAACATTTAGGCACGAGGCTGGGTACTTGTTCAAGATGGTATGAAATGTACAGGACAAAGACAAGAGAACATTTCAAAGTGTTACAGGAAAGAAGTACTAAAGTAACAGAAGTGAGAAGTTTCTCAGTCATTGTTTGGGTCTAAACTAGAGTCAGGAGGGTAAAAGTAGATTCGCTTAAAAAGAAAATTTTAGTTTAGGAATGCACAATGTGAATAGGCTCGCTATGCATGAACAATATAACGCCCAGAAACATTTATACGGTGAAATTTCGTGGAGCTGGAATTTGTTCAAATTTCAGCCAATTTGCAGAAAAGTCCTTGCAGCGATCCCATGAATTTGCTGCTGCATTTGCTTTCTACGCCAAGTTTTGACTAGCATTAAAGTGAGGTACACAAGTGAGCGCTGAAGTTTCTTAACTGAACTGTTTTCTTTTCTTCAGTTGACACAATGTTTGCTGTGTCCAAGATGTTCATGACTCTAATAACCCAAAGTCAGATGTCGGCTATTCATCTACACCCTAAGCAGTGCAGTCGAAGGAACAGCTTGTTTCCCACGGATCTGGATCTCGATTAGTGATCCCATCGTTGGTTCCATTTAGAAGGGTTTTAGTGTCAGTGAACCAACGACCAGTCACTGATCCGTGTGAAACAAACTGGCCCAAGAACTACCCAAGTTGTCAGAGTACTTCACACAGCTCGGAATGTGGCTTTTACTACCGTGCCAAAGAATTACTACGGCAACTTGCCTGAGAGCACAACTTGATCACAGAAGCAACCGAAAATCTACAATGGGATTGGAAACTGTAATCTTTGCAGCAGCAGGTAGGTGTTCTACGTACTGAACCATCCGCTCCTACACTGGCAGCTAAAATCGGCTCCGCCATTCTAACCAATGCTCTGATCACTTGTCAGGTACCTTGGCTCAATATCAGGGATACTTTTGCCCTTGCAGAAAAAAACTGCTTTGTCTAGCAGTGTTAGAAATTTATACCACAGATTCAATACGAAAATCATTAAAAAAACAGAAACATTAAAAAGGACTAAAATATCCCACTTTCTAAAAATACAAAAGTTCTACAACAAAGCCACATGAGACAGTGCTCAGTTCTGTACTGTGAACATAATCTACATTTATGAACAACTCCAGACTACAAGTGAAATGAAAATACAACAAGAAAAAACAACATGGTTATTTTTGCTGGATAGAAGCAAGGGGCATGGCAAAAGAGCAAGTCCTGTAAACATGATGCAAGATGAAAGTGTGAAGAAAACTACAGCCCAGGAATTTTGCAGCGAGTAGCAATAATAGGAGTTTGGAAGTCTGGATACCAGACAGACAAGCGACGACTAAGAAGTGGAATGACTGACAAGAAAAAGATGATCACTATATGGCTGGTTTCATTATCACAGAGACTACACAAAGTCTATGTGCCAATGCTGTGCTGAAATTCACATCAGGAGGCTGTTTTCAAAACCTAATAAAATTGGATCGGTCTCAATTTTTTTTCTATGGTGGAATATATTTCTCACATTAACTGAATTTTGAAAAGGTCCATCTCCTGATGCCTATTTCAGCGCAGCTGCTGGTTGTTCTTATCAACTACGTGTATGTCCACAAAGACCACACATCATGCACAGCTGTTGTGACCTTGTTATGACCCCTGCTTGACCTGGTTACAGCCTGGTATCCATGCATGTCACACTGGCAAACATGCAAAAATCCCTTGGCGTGACCGTCATGCATGCATTACCAGCTTGCTCTGCCAGAATCTGTCAAAAAGCCTTGCTCAAGTCCCGTTATAGCCTTTTGTCACAGCTTGTCTATATCCTTGACACTGTCATGTCCTTGTCAGAAACCCCTAAATGACATCAGTCACGACTGTCCTGGAATGACCTCTGTCACAAGCTGTTCAGTTCATAAACTATGTCACGACCAACAACATGTGTCACTGCATGTCCCAACCGGTCAAAATCTATCCTCACGCTTGTCAAACCCTGGGTCATAACCCACGTCACAACATTTGTTTTTCAAGGAGGGAGGGGGGTAAAGTGACGAGAGGGAGACATGCTACCATCGTCTTTAGTACCTGACTGGCCCAGATTGGGTGCGCTAATGCTGCGGCTGGTCTGATTGAGCGGGGAGCCCAGAGATTCCATCTGAAACTGGGCGGCACCCAGTGATTTAGACCTGGGTATCGCCATGCTGTCTGCTCGTAGAAGGGAACAGGAAGGAAAAAAGAAGATGTAGGGATGGGGGTGTAAAAAAACCAAACAAAAAAAAAACCAAAAACAAGACAAAGAGAATTGACCAAGCATTAATATGTCAGCTTGAAGCTAAACTGGGTTTGTTGCGTCGACTGTGAAGTGATCCAGTTTGGGTTGTGGAAAGTTCTGCCTTTCACTGAAAATGTAAGAAGCAGGATTACTGTACACAGGTGGGCTGTATCCACATCCCGTCAATCTTTTCTCTCTCAAATTCCTCGTCGATTCAAATTACTGTGAGATCGTCAACGTTCGGTCCTGAATTAATCAACCTCATCCCCAAACTGCATGGTGCAAAACTTATCTCCAAGTTGCATTACCATCCAGGGCCATGCTCTGTGGTGGCTTCATACACGGTGACACAACCTCGGCAGCAGTCACATGCTCAGTGAGTAAGCGTGAACCCCCCAAATGCATATTCATGACGGCAAAACCCAAACATGGCAAATAGATGAGATTGAGGGGATCATGAATTGACCTGTTAAACTCTGTCCCGCTGCAGTGAAATCCAAGTCACTATCAGCTCCAAGTATTCCCTCAATTTTAATACAGAATGCAATCATGTGTTTTCATTTTACTGAACCGAAAACCTTTTTTTAAGGAAATGTTCATGGCATAAAGGGCACAAGACTGCCATACATGCCGTTGGATTGAACTCAACCACAAGGAGGACAGCATTTTCATCTGTTAATATCAAGGGATAAACTGCAAACGGCAAATAACCAAACAAATCAAAACTAAACAATGGGTGAAGGCCAGTTCATATCTGATGAAAAGTCAAGTAGACGCCACAAGATATTCATGGTGAAATGTTGCCTTATATCTTCTCTAAGTATTATTGCTGTGATCTAAAAACATGTTCGCGTTTATTTTCCACAAATTATGAACTGGCCTCCACAAGCTCGAAACTTTCCTTGATGTTCTGTTGGACAGGAAATGCATACCCTGCATAGAATCAGCTTTACCATAGGAGCAAGAGAGTTAAATGCGAAGCTGTTTTGCAGTGACAAATGAATGCCTTTGTCACAGCTATTTAAAAAGCTCATGACCGGCGAATGAGTAACCTGTAATGGACAAAAGACGACTGATAAAACTCTGGTTTTGTACACCTAAAATTTACTAATATGAACCCAAAGGCTGCACACAGTGCCAATTGAGGGCGCTGTCCACCGTACTCACTAATGTGGACAATAACACATACGCCTATGAGAAGTAGCTGCATTTAATAGCCAATAGCTTCTACGAGCACAAGTGTGATTACCTAGACTTTTAATACCAAAGTAAGTCGGCCACCTTGTGTGCTTAAACAGCAACCCATTTCTGCACCAACACACTTTCAAGGCTTTTTTGCTTCAACTTTTCAACATAACGGAATCACTCTATGCACGGAATCAGCTCACCTTTCAAAATACTGTTTGGGTCAATCCAAGCTCAACTAAGCAAGTATCATTGAGAGTGAAGGCACAATTTTTAATGAAGCCATATTCGTTGAGCAGGTTCTCAATCTAGGCTGGCTGAGCAAAAATTCTGTCCTTATTCTCCTGCTGTTAGGTTCCAATATTAAAAATTTTAACATCTCACTACACTTTAACATTTTCCACAACTGGTGGTGAACACAAAAACTTATAAAAGGTCTTGATGAAAATTTCCCAAATAGCAGGACTGTCTTACCTCCGAAGGAGGATGGGGAGGTGAGGGCTGCCAGGCTGGCCTGAAGTTTGGCGCTCCGCTTCAGACCGTTGGCCTCCGCTGATGGGTTGGTGTTCTTGCGGTAGTTTGCAGGCCCTGTGCCAGCATTGCCAGCGGTGAATGGGGCTGGCGCTGAAGAGGTTTTGCGCTCGGTGGTTGACTGATGGGGAGAATCGTCTTCACCGTTCTCCTGTTCCTACCAAGTTAAAAAGAAAATCAACAACAGATTAAAAAAAAGGTGCAAATGTAACATTAACCACTCCATGCCGGGAGTACATAGGCTTTATATGCAGAGCCGGGGAGCCTGGAACTGGGACAAAAAAGTTGGGCCTTACAACAAAAGAACATGCTCAGCACAAAAGCACAAAAGAAAAAATTTTTCGCTCTCAATAGTGGAGATAATCCAGCCTTGTTATGAAAAAGTATACCACGGTTTGAGGCATTTAGAGCAAGCGGATTACCACCGGGGACAAAAGCCCTCCACCACCCCAGCGATGAGCCACACAGCACCACTGCACACTAATCTGGCCCCTACTGAAAAGAGGTCAGCAGTGCACTATGCCGGTTTCGGGAACAAAGGAATCTTACGTAACACCGCACAATCTCGGCTCTTTTTCCAAGGCTGCAGGCCTGGCTGAAATATTCAGGAGTCAATGAATTTTACCTGTCAGCTTTAGAGTAATGCCAAAAGAGTCCTTCATTTTGGTATAAACCGCCATTAAATGAAATGATAAATTTTTGAAGAATTTTGAAAACGGAATATCTTGAAAAATCCACCCGGCAGCAAGTGGCTAAAACAGCAGAGAGAAACTGCAATGCTTCCAGATGCAAGTCAAGGATTTTTCAAAGGGGAGCTGTGAATGAAGTGTGGATGAAAGTTAATTGTTTTTCCACTGGCCCGATAGAAAAGGGAGTGGTAAGTTATCCCAACAGCCTTTGTGCTGGCATGCAACTTGGAAGGGCATGTGTGACGTGAAAATGAGTAAATCAGCTGATCCGAGGAAAAGTTGCACGCCTGTATCAGAATTTGGCCGGAGTTACTGCACCCCAAACTAACTCCAGCAAATTATTTCAACAACACCCCATGATTAGATTGCAGTGGGAAGCATATTATTGCTGCAGGGTAGGATGGTTTGTGGGGAAGGGGCTGCACTGCCCAAAATGATGAACTACGAGTTTGTTAGGTTTTTCCAAAAGGAACAAAAGGGTATCCATCTGTATCAAAAATGGGTGCCCGGTTCCAGTAAAACCAATTAGAAGCCATTCCGTGGAGTCAATGACCCCTGTAATGACCCCCTAAACTGACCTTTGCCTGCTCCTGCTCTCTGACCTGCCTGACCTCTTCCTCTTCCTCCAGGGCCTTCAGCTGGGCAGCCCGCTTCTCCTCCTTGGATAGGTAGGCGATGGGATTGGCCAGGGCGTCGGCAAAGTTGGTCATCCGCTCGGGAACGTAGTCCCGCACCTTGATGTTCAGGAAGAGGGTGGGCAACATCAGGGGCTGGTTAGACTCATTGCAGAGGAAGATGTGGCGATAACCTGAGAGACGGGAGTGGGTTTGAGGGGAGGGGGGAAGGGGTGGGAGGTTGAGATGAGGGGAGGGGGTGGGGTGAGGGAAGAGGGTGGGAACAGGCAAAGAGAACATCACATAATAAATTCAAAGTGTGCTCCATACGGGTCGGAAGAAGTGAGCAGAGGTACTCATGCATCAAATCACAGGGCATTCACAAGCCATCCCATCTCAAGTCAAGCCACAAAAAAACTAATCCAATGAATTGCTTCATTATTACTGCTTGACAAGTAATATAACTTGTGTATGAGACATGATAATTTTCACCGGTTTCTATGGAAGCCTCCATGCTGGTGAAGTATGACTATTGAGCAAACTCCAAGTTGTGGGACAAACACGAATGGCACACATCGCTTCAGTCTGTCTTAGTTACATTTCGTTCATGTCAAGCCAGGCTCTAGATCCCATTCACGCAGCCCAGACATCAGACACCTTGGATCATACGGCACATAACATGACCCAGAAAATCCAGTACAAAGGACTGCAGAGGCATGAGCTATTTCTGGTGCACTGCCGTAACTGCCCAGCAATGCTTTTCAGTCATGCTCGACAAGAAATGCAGTATTTTCAGTTGAACTTTTCATGGCAAAAAACAGGAGCTTCAAATAGCCAGCTGTAACACTGCAAAATGATATGAGCGAAAAGGAAACTTTGCAATATTTTGCTAGAGAGAGGGAGAGAATGCGGTGTTCCCTAACACTCCCCTCTATCTACCTCTGTAGACTGGTGGTAGAACCGTGGCAACATGGATCCATCTTTATATTGTCTCTCACCTGGTCTGAGTGATTCCACTGGCAGTATTCTGTGGCCCACCATCTTGCCGTTCTCTTCAAAGACGGCGATGCGAAGCATGGCCAATTCTGGCATAATCACCTGGAAATAAGCCAAAACTAACAATCAGATTCGTTGTCCACGTTTTGACAACTGCAAAACCAGAGTCTTTGTACATTATTCTGTCTGTAGTCAGGTTCAGGTACACTGCGCTAGGTAGCCAGTAGCGAATTTAGGGAGGCGGGGAACCAGGCACACTCCCAACCACCAACAATGAATTTTGAAAATGGCTTCACTACATTACTTTGTGACTTTGTGCTTTGCACTGCATGCTTGCATCTGAGCCTCCAAGCTTGAGCCTCCCCTTTCTGAAAATCATGGGATCTGCTCCTTGATAAAATGTTGTTTGAGGAGCTGTCAGTCATGTACAAGCTGACCGGGGCCACTTCGCAGACTTGGCCTTCGCACTCCAAATTCATGATTTTGATTTCCAGACTCTGCAGGTGCTGGCTCAGTGCTCAACCAAATGGAGTCGTTTCAGCTGCTCTAATACCTTTTTGAAGACAAAGGGGGTCCCATCAAAGATGGGGTTGATGGAGTTGGATGACTGGGACTTGGTCTTGTAGCGTCGGCGAACTGTGTCGGCCGGGAGGCCGATCATGTCCACCTCAACATAGGTGTTGACCCGACGGTCACCGAGAAACTGGCCGCTAATGACCTAGACAAGATGGCACAAAGAGGTCAAAGGTCACAAATCACTCAAGAGGCAGTCCATTTTGTTTTCTATATTCCAATGTATGAAATTACAAAATAAAGATGTGACAAACTTCAGGGCAGCAAACCAGCTTTGAAATATTTGACTTGGCTCGGGTTCGAGTCCCAACTCACCCTGACTTCCACGGTGGCGGCCACTATCCCATCAATGATGGACTCGGCGAAAGGGTCAAAGAGCCGGTCCTTTCGCCTCATGAACTCTGGCTTGAGGATATAGCCTGTCCGGCCATTGATCTCAAAATAGCCCATGTTGAGCTGCATGGGAAGATCTGAAAAAAGGAAAGAATGGTCACACGCAAATAAAACCACATTCACTTCTTTTAATTAATGATATAAATTCCTTTACTTCTGCAACGAAAATACTGCAGCTTTGAAGGCCCAAGAAAAATCAAAGAAAAGAGACTGTGAAAAATATTGTTTTAGGGCAAAGATCAAAAGTATTATTCCCCTTCCGACGTGCTCGGCCGCACTCCTCCCATTCTACACAGGGATTAAATAAATCCAACAATAGGCCTGTTCTCCCAAGGTAGAACTCCCGGCTCAGGCGAGCACCAAGGGAAGGACTGAAGCACATTGGAAGTTCTATTGAGTGCGTCCTTTGTGATGTTATTTACCCATTCCCATGCATGTACGCCCACAATAGCAGAAGTATGCGAAACACGGCAAGTTATGATACATGCATAGCATGTACATGGCTGGCAAAAGCGTACGTGAACACAAAATGTGTGATGGTAGGGCAACTTTTTGTTTTTAATACAGGTAAACTCTGGCGAATTCCACATCGAAGGCTTCATGATATTAAGCTACATTGCATTCACATGATGTATAAACAAGTCTTGAAACTATGGGAACGTAGACTATGGCCCCATAATAATTTTCAGAAAATAAGCCGCGGCTAAATATGTTGATTCTGACGCTGAAAAATGTCCCAGCAGCCTATACCAATGATCCTCCAGCACTGCAAAGCAGCAGCGCTCTAAACCAGTCTAAAGGGAAAACTCCAGCATTGTAACCAAGTCTGCGTACCACCTAAACTGTGCACTTTTTGTGACAATTCTTTCATGCTGTTTGCTTCTTTCTGCGCACACCACATGGAGACGCACACAGCACCTTGCTCTTGCACTTGGCCGGGGCCAGCCAGCCTGGGTTTTCCTATTTGGCCACATGATCATTCCCTTTTAATCACATGAGACTGCACCATTTTGCATTTCGAAACGTTCGAGCGTAAAAATAAATCATAAAAAAATTTGTGTCTTGTTTGTCTTTTCGTTCCCTTGTCTCTCTTTTTTTACACGTTTTAAAATTTGAGTGAGATTAAGCAAGCTCATTTCCAGCACTGCCATTGGAACGTATGTCCATTATACACGTGGGTTGTGATTGGACAGTAAGCATGTGAGTGGTGCGAGAGTGCTGCAATTGGGCCAGCGGTGGCAGCCAGGCCATAGCCATGGCATGCACAAAGCTTCCTTCAGTTGAGTCACATGGCCACCAGAAAAAATCAACGACTGGACTACAAGCGTACCGCCGTGTGCGAGCTACTTTTGGGCTGTGATAGCAATCAGGCTTGCTTGAAAGCTGGGACTGGAGTCAGAGGCAGCATGTAGGGAGAATTTAAAATGTGAACATCTCATAATTCGCAATTGTTGTCTGATGGTACCTTGTTTTCATTTTGCATAATCCAAACTGTAAAATGATTAAAAAGATACAAATTTTATTCCATCGTGTTGAAGGTTTTAGGAGTAGTAAACAAATATTGCCAATTTTTTTTTATCAAGCGGTAAGAATTCTTCTTACGTTCATGTTACAAGCATGGGGTAGAGCATGTAGCCATTCTAGCCGTTTGAAAAAGTTTCTCCTGTTACGCGTTTAGATCATGTGCATTTATGCAGCATAAAGAATAATTACTCTGTTTGATACAACGAATGATACAATGTCTAAGAATACGCACGCCTAGCTAGGCCTTGTTGAGATCTCAACGTGTAGCCTGCATGCACTGGCCCGGCCGGGACACACCATGCTTGGACAACATTAACCAAGCAGCTTGCTTTCGTGTTTGCAGCCTATGCAGTAAAAGGGTCGGCACTGATTGTGCGTTCTTCCCAACCAATTATTTGCAGATGCCGAAAAGTGTGTGCATTATTTTTACCAAACAATTACCATAAAGTCAAATTTAGTCAAGTCATGGCAAGTCGCAAATCACGTTCCTTCAAGTCAAGTCCAAAGTAATTTTTCCAAGTCAAGTCTCAAGTAAAAATCGAAAAACAAAAAATAGTGACTCGAGTCCAAGTCAGCAACTCATGTTAACACCGAAAAAGTTCCATCAACCTTTGGTGGTACCAAAATACAGGATATTTCGAGAACAAGTTTTATTATCAATACACATGTAACTCTACTTTCCTGGACTTTTCAATCTGTTGGTCATTAACATGGTAAAAATCTAAACTCATCTGCCAACAACAAGTATACATCATCTGCAAAAGATATAGGCCTATTGTAACCATTTTCTGAGACTCCCTAGGACCAGTGTTTCTGTATAGGATATTAAATGTGAGGTCTCCGGGCCCATCATCATCACCACACAGATCTATTGTATTGATATCCGGAGGGCATCAAGTGTGACCGTTTCTTTTGAGTTATTGTTACGCAGTTTCGGGCGAAATATTGCTCTCTGAACAGGGCCCGTGTGAATGCAGGAGTAGGGGGGGGATTAAGAACAGTGGGCCCGTTCCTCCTGTGCGCCCCGTTGATCTTTGCCCTTAGAGGTGGGAGGGAAACTCCAAAATGGTAACCTGTCCTGCTCGGTTGGGCACCTTGATAAAATGCGACAAACAGAAGAAGCCAACGAATAGCCCTAAGAAAAGGGTAAAGTACTTTGCCAGGTGCTGGCCAAAAAACAGCTCATATTTGGCAGACTCTAATTAATACCTTGCACTTTGTTTCTGCCATTACCAGGGGGCAATCCTGATGTACAGTGCACAAATGTCTGGTGTATCGATGTTGTAGTCAAGGACCACAGCTGTTTTGTTGTGAGTAATGGTCAGTGTGTATTTTACCTTTACGTGTAAATCTTTGTTAAGACTGACTTACCCAGTGTCTGGTAATTCAGTGCAACCATCTGACATCCAACATTCCAGAAAATCTGAGGAGAACAAGAAAAATCAATCAACCAAAGAGCAAAGACTTTGCACAAGTCATTGAAGATAATGCACAAGTCTACGCCAATGACAGAAAGGAAAACAGTATGTGCATACAGGGGGCCCTGTAACCCTCTTGTTAATGCCCACAAGTCCGTAAGTCACAGGTCCTCAAATCTTAAGTTTCAAGCTATTCAAAGAGTTGGTGATTAAGGCATATACCTTGGTGAATGTTCATCCCCCATCACATGTGACTGGACTTCTGACAGTAATCAAAACAACTGGCTTTCAACCTCTCTCCCAGCACGTTGGAAACACGTCTTACCTGGGGCATGTAGTTGCTGGAGTCCACCCTGGCCCCCCTGGGGTAGATACGTGACAGCTGCCTTTTGTTGTAGCTGAGTGAAATCAGTCAAGGAATCCTCAGTACTTCACAGATAAAAGAGGGTCCCGAGGCTTTGTGTAACCACTTGGTTGTGGCTAAAAATGACATTAATGTCTATAGAAAACCACTGCTTAGCAGCTGTGGCTACTTCCCATGGATGTGTGTGTCACTCCTAGCCGTAGCCAGTTGATTTGGACACAGTTAGAAAGGTCAAGATCAAATCACTGATAGTTTTCCAAACCTCAATCTTGGGCTTTCCAAGAATTGCCAAGGCACATTCTTCAGCGCATTGCGATTTCACTTCCAACTTCAGAAACATATGACCATCTAAAGAAAGGCCAAAGAACGCGGTGCTTTTTTTTTCTGCGGGTAAACTTTGATTCCTGATTCTGGAATGATGTGGAAGCTAAAGTTGAAGCCTAAATTTGGGTAAAGGTTTTTTAAATACCCTCTCTTGCATCAATAGTTCTAGGTTCTACTTCTGTGTATACTGGAGAGTTCGGCCAATCAAAGAGAAGGCAGACTTGTAAAAGCACACAAAAGTAACACAATTTTAGGAACTCTACAAGTCATGCCTGTCCACATGAACGTCCAACATAAGGTACTCATACACTTGGGTTTGAGGTTAAAGTAAAAATGTGGACTGAAGAAATAAAAATGGAAAAAAAGTACTAAAAGTTGGATTTGGAGAGAGATGTAGTTTGCAGAGTTGTGAAGGATACTTGGTGAACTGGATGGGGTTTTCCTTGACTCGGTTCATTGCCGATGTCTCCACGAAGGAAGAGATCTCATAACTGCGATTTCTCTCTGGAAAGGAACAGACAAGATGGTCAATACCATCTGCAAGCAGTTTGGGGATCATTTCCTCTACTGTAACCAAAACACCAGACGAACTTTTCCGAAACAACACACTTGTGCAACAGTGGAGCAAGGATCCAGACTTACTTTCTGCAGTCTCAAATGTGTGGAAGTGGACAGGTTGGATGTAGTTGACCAGTGCCGACATCTCTCGTCCTGCTTCTGCTTCTTGACCCGCTGTGCCCTGTCATCCATCAATCCGAAGAGTAGAAAATGATCACTTCGACATTAATTCTTATAATCTCGGAGATAAAAATGACATAAGCCTGCCGTTATCCCATCTCCATTTATTCAGAGTGGCAGCATGCGAAAGCTAATGGGCTGTTACTCACGCTCCTTAGTCTTTTTTCAAATTCCTAGAGTGCCATTTAGTTTGGACTGAAATCATTGCCATCGTGGCACTAATGACAACTTAGTATCAAGTACATGTGAGAACCACCAGTGTCGTGCCAAAAACTGTATGGTACAAAATAATTTCCACTGAGCATGTGCAAAAGATGCAAGACACTACATGAAAAGTATTATGTGCCAAATGGCATCCATTGTAAAACAATGTGAACCCTGCCATGCATCTACATTTACGTACATGTAATCAAATGATATTTGGGAAGTTCAGATAGGATAAAAGTTTTATGACAGGAGAACGAAGTGTAAAAGGTGAAAACGGGCTTTATCTTTACATACATGACTACAGCTAAAAAAAAAAATCAACTGAAACTGATGCGGAAATTAGTTGGTAAGCATCTGCCAATAAGGTAACATTTGTTCACAAATGAACAATCGGAAAAGTAACAGTATGTTAACGAGTGGACATTATTTCGCATCGGGCCGTCTTTGCCGCAACACTAGAGTCAATAGAAAAAAAACCAAACAGAATTGGCATCATTTTACCCTTTCCCTCTTCTCCATTTGATGCCGCTGGACTTCCTCTTTGCTCATGTTTTCTTCATCATCGCTCTCACTTTCCTCTTCCACTTCGTCCAAGGTTTCACTGGGCGCCTTGCTCATTCCGCTGTCGACGCTCCGTTCGCTGTCGTTGGAAAACGTCTTGGTGGCTGCAGTGGAGGCTACAGGGCAGGATGAAGGTCACCAGGGTCAGAGAGAGCGATGAGTACGAAGTGTCAAAGTCACAAAAAGTGAAACATGACTGTTGCCGGACTAAAGAGACTTATGCAGATGTGGCCATGGCTATGGTGTTGCAGCAGCATTCCAACGGAAAACAGTGGCGAGCCACAGCCACAAGTACGTGTGCCACATTTCAGACCCGGTAGGCCGAGTCTTTTGATTAAATATGGTGCCTTGAAATTACAGCAGAACTGGCATATGGTGCAAAATTTGTTGAGCTACTGAAGATGGACTGCAAAGAATGGATGACACGAGTGAAGTTTCTACAACTGTTTTGGACCAATACAGAAAAATGATACCAACCAGCTAACAAAATGGATGCTTAAAGGTCACCAGTCTTTTCCAACTGGCCTACACATAAGCCTCTGAATATAATCTGTACACCGTTAGTTCATAGTGTGCATGATTGGCAGTAGCAGTGAATTGCTACAAAGCATGAGTAAACAAGGTGACAACATGGTGCTGAGCTTAGATAAACATATGTGTAAGAATAAACTTGGCAATGGAAGAAAAAAAGAAAAGCTTCAGAGATAGACGAAAATACAGTTTGATTTTTGTCTAATCCATTGAGAGACACTTGCCAGTATCTGAGGGTGGAATAAGTTACAAACAGAGTAAGACAAAGACCAACACACTTGGGGGAACACACACTGACAAAGAGAGAGACAGATATCACTAGCTGTCATGAGAAATAAGTAACCAGCCTTTACACTTATCACCCAAATTATCAACAGTTTTGGTAAAACCCTCACAAAATGTGTACAGCCAATACAAAAAGCATCATATATTTGGGCACAACATAAACTCAAAGACAGAAAAGATAGCAAACCATTGTGCTATTCTCTTCAACTGTGCACCAATATGCGAATAAAATGTCTTGTTCAAGAACAATAACTCGTGTGATTTGGGTTGACAAATTCCTTAAATCCCTTTATTGTTTGTATTAAAAACAATGTTTATCTCCTCTTCATAGATGTGTTGAACAAACAACTTCCTGGGATGATTCTGCTCATAATTCTTGTCAACAATGATAAACAAACTATACAAGACAGGGACAGACACATAATCGGCACCACAGGTGGACAAAGCAACAATTTCCATGACAGCAAAGAACGGCAGCTATAATAACGAATAGTTAGTCTGAGCAACTAAAGAAGACAGATGGAAAATATATTGATAAATAAGAAAGACAAGAAAACAAGCAGAAATAAGAAAGGATAAAAGACAGAAATATTGATATCCAAAGCAGCAAAATGGTTGAGGAATGCCACCTCAATCTGGAAAAAAAAAGGATTAAGCCAATTCCTAGAACTTACCTCTCAATTTAATAAGTCTCAAATTAAAAGTCGTAACTAACTCAATGGCTCAAAGTATGCAAAGCAAACCATTATAATATTCATGGAAATATGCCTTCTTATGAAGTGAGACAGAGAAATATATGTCTCTAGTGTCTCATCTAAAACAAGCCAGTGGCAAAGTGCTATAAAAGGCTAAGCATGTGTGATGAAAATAAACCATTTCCCAGAATTCCATGTCCAAAAAAGCTCCACTGGAAAGATCATAACAAACGCGGTGTGTATGTAAGAAATTGAATGGTGCAAGGTATGAGAGTAACTCTGTGCGTAAGACACAGCAGTCGGTGAGAATTCAAGCATTTACTGACTACATGGGTGCCAATTTTGCAGAAGTGCTCCGCCGAATAAGATTGCCGAGTTGAAAGTTGGGGCCTATTGGAAGCCATCATATACCATGATAATATGGACACCACCACCTCCCGCAGAACCCCAAACCTCCTTCTGAAAATTCTGGCGACTCGTAACAATTTTAACAATGTAATAAGCAGGTGAAGACAGTGACAGGCCTACTTTTGAATGTCTGAAATTCTTAAGTGCACACAAAGGAATTTGTCCAGACAAAACTTTCAGGTAGTCCAAGTGCTGTCCAATTAATTTATACAAAATGGAATTAATTCTTCACTTGCCATATCATCATATTCTGTTTGTGTGCTCACAGTCGAGTATTTAACAATTAAAGTACTTTTCCTAACATAAAACAGCACACCCACTTTTTGTGCCACAAAAATTGACTCTTGGTTGAATAAAAAAAATGCCTTCTGAAAAAGACCTCTCTGTTAAAGCTGCCTGCACAGACCTATGGCTACCAGACACACTCTTTCCTTTTTTGGGGGGGCGGGGTATGTGACTAGGCAGGTTTTGTTTTCCCAGCAATTTTATTCGGTCAAGCAGCAAGCTCTGCCCAACTGGCCTGATAATTACAAATGATTCAGTCCCCCTTGAGGCACTTACCACTTCGTCCTATGGAGATAACTGAAAAGAATACAGCCTAATTAATACATTTTCATAAAAAGGGTTCTAAGAAACGTAATCCGTGTAAATGGTATGTACTGATTACAATTTGTGGCTTCCATCCAACAAGACCCTACATTACTCCTTGCTCAGCCACCACAGGAAGGTTATTTGCATGTTACCACTGTTTTACAACTAAAAGTGTGCTTCTGCATTTGGATCACTTTCTCAAACAAAAAAGTTGGGTACTTTGGAGTATACATGTACATGTATGTTATAACCAAACAAATACATAGAGTACCAAATGCACACTGAACCATCAAATCATAAAACATACTGTGATGTACTGGTGTAGTAAATTACAAAAACAGCTGTGTAGCGGAAGTGAAGCAATGCCTACAAATGCTCTTAAAACCTGAGGCATGGAAATGGGTCCAACTTTTTATGCGACTGCGGCTCTTTCTTGTGAACGGACCACTGAAAAAGATTTTCTTTGATAAGGAAGACGAGTGGGTGTGTTTTTAAGCCTAGCAAGGCCACACCCAACATTTCCAGAAGAAGAAACCCCTCCTTCTCCTTAATATCATTTCTATTTTTGTGACCAAAACCTTGGGCAGCCAAACCGGCACACCAGTTTCAAAACTCAAGTATCAATGCCTTCTTGCAACAAGTACAATCTTAGGATACTTTTTAGACCCAAATAAAGGTCTTCTGTACCAAATCATGATACACTTTCACACCATCAACGCATATAATTGGAGAGTCAGCCTCTTTCCTCGTTTTCCACCTGTGACCCAGGTTCGAATCCCACCCAGGTCAGCATATGAATTGGGTTTTCAAAAGTCCCTGTCTGACTGTGGGTTTCCCTGGAATATTCATTCAGGGTTTTCCTCCCACCTCTAAAACTGAACATTGCTTCCTTGTCTTCTTAATCGTCACTTCATCCTGTAATTGGTGCCAAATGTGCTGTTGGATGAAAAGAAATGAAATAAAAATAAAATGAAGAAATAATTGTGCAGGGATCAATACAAGCTATTTGGTTGATCACACACTCCAACTGTGACTGGTGAACCTTTTGAGAGATATTTTCCTGTGGTCTGTCTGCATTTGCCAGGTTGTACAATGTTACAAGAAGCATTCTCAAATCATATCGCTGCCAAGCACTCCCCCTAATGCAAGGTCCTCCCATCCATGTGAACCCAGTGAACACGGTACATACTTGGGTAAAAGCTTAAAATTTTGGCGTGTGTGTGTACGGACGACACTGACGTAAAACTGTTGCGAAAGGTTTTTTGGACAAACACTGATAATAGAATCAAAGTAGGGTGACTGTTCACGACTGGGCATTTAGCGGCAGCTACGGTGGTGCTACAAAGCCACACGGACTGCTTCCTCATCTCCCTACCTCAGAAACCTGCATCATCATGTGGCCATGACAAACATGAATATTCATGGCATAACATGAATATAAAATGAATATGATATGATTGCGGGGTTCCTCGTGCAAAGGCAAAGTGGTTGGAAAAATCTTTGATGATTCACAAAAAGGGGCAAATCATGCAGGGGAGAAAATATTTCCGACTGAAGGCAAAATGGACATACTGATCCAAGAGGAGGTTCGGGGGAAGATGGGGATAATTTCCGGATGCAAGCTTCTGAAGTCAACAGAGGAAATAAGCAGAACAACAAAACTGCAATATACATTTTTTTCTCTTTTACCTTCTGAAAAATTCACCTCCTCTCCCTGACTAATGGAGGAGAGATTTGACAGGGTATGGGAAGCACGACGCCTGGCTACAGGAGGGGAAGAGAATGCCAAATCTGCCTCGTTTAGTGATTGGAAAATGGAACAGATTGTCATCATCGTTATCACGAACTGCATGCAAGTACTATGCCCAGACACTTCAAGAAAACCATGTAATTAAGAGTTCTGGTTTCAGGGACTGACACCTGACACCACACACGCTGTGAGCTATGATGCTTGGATGAAGGATTTTCGTCTTCATGAACCGACACAGAACCATGTAACGACTATACCTTTTGGAGAAAAATACTTTAAAAGGTTCACAAGAGTCTACTCTATCCATTGAATACCTGTAGGGTTAAGGCAAGCTGTATTTGGAAACCTTTAAACTTGGCAAATTAAGATGTTTCACTTTGTGTAAACTAAAACTCACTGTGTGTGATCGGTTACAGCTTGTGAAAACTATCATTATGCAGTTCAGTAAATGTTATGCATGAGGAGCACACTTCAGATACCATCAAATATTAGCTTACGATGTCAGTGACAAGATGGACACAAATGCTAAATGCTATGTGGTTCATGATCAGGTTAGTACACAGGTTTAATACTTTTCTGCTGTGTGGTACCAGTGAGTAGACTGGAGCCACAAGCTGAGAGATTTGGGCATTGAATTACTGTGAGACAGGGTGCCAAGGCAGGCAAAACGTGGAATCCAAAAGATGATGGCAAAGCAGGAACCAGGGACTAAGGGAGAAAAGCCAATGTGGTCAGAACATGTACATGTAGGTGACGATTCTCCGTTAGGGGTTAGTCACTCAGAGAATGTGCATGATGTCAACTGCAAGAAAGGCACCACTACATGTAGGTTTACATTAGTAAAACTTCCCCTCTGACACTAGGTGTGTGTTAGTAAGAGTCACCTCTGCCAAGAATAATACGGCGGATGGGTGGAGTGGAAGGGGGGGAGGAGCTTAAAAAAGAGCAGGTTGGAGCTTATTACCTCGTTTCGCTGTGCTTTCTGGAGCAGTATTTGATGTAGATTCTGTACTAGCTAAAAACAAGAAAAGCCTTTGTTGTAGAGAATACACAAAACAAGAACTAAGAGCGCCTTTATGCAATATGTCAATTTCACTTGGACCACTTCTGTCCCGACCAAGCATTTCATTTCATTTTGGAATGCAGCAAAACTCTCAAAAACAATGCAACTTTCCTCATATTAGACTGGCCAACAATACAGATTGTAGATACTGACATAAACATGTTCGGAGTCTTGCACATTTAGTCCATCTAGTTGTATCGTCAAGCCAGCTGGCCTTCTTGTTCATACAAACAAATTACAGTTGACTTGTTTGCCGAATAAGCTACAGCCTTCTCTGAAAAACCCAGAATACCTTTGTCATTTGTATTTTCTTCCTTGGATCGGGACAATTTGGGAGTTTCAGGGCCCTCTTGCCCCTTCTTCAACAGTCTGGGGCTGGATGATGGGCTATCCCGAACTTTGGAAATTTGAGCTGTTGGAAAGAGACAACATGGCCGGCACCATCATTCATACCAATTCCAAACAAACACAACGTGCCAAAACATATGTGCCAAAACAGAATCAGCGCTCTGTACATTATTCAGCAGTCATTTCAGTTTGCAAAGTCAAAAAAGACAGCATTTAGTCAGAGCGCTTAGCTCTACAGATAATCTTTCTAAAAAGCGGTTCTTAGCTAAAATGCAAGTTAGAACTGAGCATTTTGGATGGAAAATAGTATCTTTTCTAAGAGAAATCAGATTACCGAGTTCTCAGGAAATGTAAGTTTTTCTTAAAAATCTAATTTCTAAATTAGCCGATACATCTTTGGGGGAACTATACAATGATTGTTCCATTTCGACTTTAAGAGAAAAGACATTCTACAGCACAAGTGATCAAGGTTAAAATCTCTGCCACCTGGATCTCTCAAAACAAGAAAAGATCACAGAAGATTCTTGAAGAAATCTGTCAGGGAAGGAAGGAGAGAAACTCTGATGTTGCTAAGGTGACTGTTCAAATACAAAAGTGTCTACATGCAACTCCCATCGTGCCAGTACCCCCTCTACAGAAGAATCTTGATCGCCACGTGCAGCTACAAATGAAGGGAAAGGCTCAGGTTAATTTCTCACTAATTACATTAGGCATTTAAAAAAAAGCAAGTTAACCAAAAAGATGTAATGTTCTGTGTCTTGGTCAGAAAATGAGAAATACAAACAAATCTCCTGTTTATGAAATTAGGGTGACAAAAATGACACCTGGAAGATGGTGTGTGTAGTAACATCGATTGGACACTCTTTTGAAAAGTATAAACTTTACAGAAGAGTATGAACAAAACTGAGTGAGTCGGCGTATACTCATGAATGGTTACCCTGAACCATGAATATTCATGACAATATGTATCCAACCAAGGGAACTGGTACAAAATTGTACTCCTTCACCACAGTGTGCTGAAAACAAGAATGCATGCGTGTAAGGGAGAGGTTGAAACGTTGCTCATTGTTTGCCACGCACCCACAAATGAAGTATTGAGGTAGGGTCCAAATTTTCCAAGGGTACAAATTTCAATGCAACACCGGCACGCATTACACAGAACAAAAATCTTTGACTAAATTTGTAGAGTGGAAGCAAGAGACAGCGGTGCAAGTCTTAGAAACTCCCCGAGAACCCGGTGGTGAGTAAGAATGGAAGATTACCTTCCCTACCTCCAAACTCAATGACCGGTGGTTGGATTTGACCAACACGCCGGGTTTTGGTCACCACCACTGACCCCTCTGGACGACAAACAAGCAAAGAAAAAAAAAAACAGAAATCCTGCAGTTAAATGACTGCAGGGAAATAGTTTTAATGGTATGTGGTCAGGTACAGTACACCGATTTTTCCATCACAAAATGTCTGTTGAAGAAATGCTTTAAATTGCATGGTGTTGAGTCTCCATTGATTGAATTATTTTCTGAAGAGCCACTTTTCCGGATCTGGGCAAGTCTTTGTTTTATGTAATTGTGTATGATTGTACACCATATATATACACCAGCCTCAGTCCTCCCTCCCCCCCAAAATAAAAAGACTGAAAAATGTAGTCACTGTAAATTTTGTGAAATCAGTCACTGTAGAAACAAAATGTTCAGCTCCCTGTATTAAAAGCTTTTAATGGAATAAAGCAAAAGAATGAAACCAAAGGATTCCAGACCGGCATCAGTGCACAACCTAGTCTGGAGATGGGCCTGGTACCTTCAACGATGGGCTCCTGTGAGGCCTCTTTGCTTCGGCTCTCTCGGTGTCTTGGTGCTGAAAATCAAAGTGGCAACTTTTTAATGCTCACGTTCTTCCCAGGGATAAAAATTGACCAAACCCTTGAATGCATGTATGCCGATTTTGTAGAAGGAAAGCAATCTCTAGTTGGTAACTTACTTCAGAGCGATCATTTCACTACATGAAAATTTCTCTTCACCAAGAAACAGTAGTCAGCATGCCAAAAACCCCGAAAACTGTGAAAAAAAATCTGACCAGAACATACTTTATGGCATCCCCTCGTGGAAAAATGTTTATATCAGGTTACTTGACGCTAAAAGTAAAACCAAAAGAGGTAAAGTAAATATTCAGCTCAAAATATCGCCAAATATCCCCAAAGTTTACCTCAAATGTATGTCCAAAAATCTTTTACAAACTGTGCATTTACCTTCCCCGTTAGTGCTGTCTATGCTCACACGTTTGCTAGATTGGCTCTCCCGACGTTTAGACGATGCTGGAAGATTAGGAAGTCAAAATCACTAAGAGGCAATTTGTACTTTCAGAAATGCAGCTCTTTTGGATTTTAATTCTATAATCTAGGATTTTTCAAGAAGCATTTGGATGAGTAATGGAAGCTGTGCCACAACCAATACGTGAACTGATAATTGGAGCGTTCATAAAGATATGATTTTTGGCGTATGGTTTACGGGAAAATGGGTTTCAATTACTGGGCCTGATTTCATAGCATTGATTGTACAGCTAGCGTGAAAGTTGTGCTTACTATGGCAAAAAACAATGCTAGCGCTTAAGCACTATTTCATGGCAGGAATGTGTTAACAGTTGTGCAAACATGGAGAACTGCACTGTCATCACATCACTGAATTCAGCAACTTTTTTAACACTTGCTTTTACTTTGCAGTATGGTCTCTGTGAAACGGAAAGAGGCTCTGCTAGCACAAAACTGGCCCCTTTGTTAGCACCGTAAATTTGAGCCAGGCTAGTCTTGAAGGGTTTGGGTTTGCTGATTTTGAACCACTTCCTGACACCAAGTGAACAGAGGTAGTTGAAACGAATTGACACTGTTGCTTTTCCCCAAAGATGAACCCATGCTGTACTGGTTCTACCACATCTCATGCATACTTTGTTGCATGATGCAAGATTTTACAGGTTGGCTACATTTTTGACTTGCATGTCAACATTTATCAACCTCTTTGTCAGGCTCTAACTACATAGGTGACCCAGTACATCGAAATCAGGAATAAGTCACAAACTGACTTTTTTGAGATATGTACATGATCAGAAAGAGAATTTCATAAGCTTTCAAATGGTACACACTACAAGTGCATTGATGGTAACCTTTCATATGTATACTTTCAAAATATACAGAAACTGCCACATTGATTTTTGCAACATTTACCACATCCCCACTTACTGGGCCATTACATAAAATGGCCTCATCGACTTATTCCTGATTACGATGTGTCGGTTCACCTATGCAATATTTTTCAGAACTATTAACAATCTCTCTTGCAACCTCTGTTGTAGGAGTTTGGGAGTTTATCCTGTATCACATTGGGCGGGAACATTGACCAATGAAAGAGCGACTGGCTCATAAATATTTATGAGGTGTAAAAAGTTATTATTAGTCATACTAGCCTGGAGTAGTCTTTTACACTTTATTTGAGCCATGCTTGGTGGTGACAAACAGTTTCCAGTATTCAGATCTTGACACTTGAATTTTCTACCTTAGTTACTTTTGCTATTTTTGAGGAGGGGCAGGGGGTTGCATGTTACAAAAACATAAGCCTAGCACCCACAGCCCCAGAGCAGAAAAAACATGCTCGACCGATTTACATGCTGAGCAGATGTTGGCTGGGAGCAAGTCAAGTAGTGATACGCATCACATGCCACTTTGGTTGGTAACCCCATTCTGTTGGTACTCAGCAAGCAAAATTGACTCCAGTCCACTAATGCTTATGTTACACAACACACAATTAATGCAACCAGAACAAGGAAAATGTTTCTGCATGTTGGAGACCTCGACTGATTCAATGCTCGTCTTAAAACTAAGTGTTTAAAAGCTGGGTCAATTTATTATTGTGGAAAACCAATTTTGGAAAAGCTACTGGCCCGACTTTTTATTTTGACCACTTCCTGCCAGGGATTTGGGATCCGGACACATATGCTTTATATGTTTGGCTGGGGTCTCCGAACTCGGACAAAGGGAACAGGGCTTTGTAACAAAAGACCGTACTCAGAACAAAAGACCAGGCTGCTGGACATTACTGACATTTTTTCACTCTCAAAAGTGGAGATAATCCAGCCTTGTTTTGAAACAGTATACCATGGTTTGGGGTTTAGAGTGAGCGGATTACCACCGGGGGACAAAAGTGCTCCACCACGGCAGCAATGTGCCACACAGCACTGCTGCATGCTAATCTGGCCCCTATTGAAAAGAGGTTAGCAGCGCACTGAGCCAGGTTCGTGAACAAAAGAAAGTTATATAACACCGCACAATCTGGGCTCTTTTTACAAGGCTGCAGGCCTGGCTGAAATACTCAGGCATCAATAGATTTTGTCTGTCAGGCTAGAGGGGCCACCAGACAGTCCTTCACGTGTTTGTAAGTGTCCAGTAAAAGAACATAGGAATTTTTAAAGAATTTTGAAAACAGAAAAAATGATAATTATCAATGATAATTATCATCAACATTGATATCTGCCCCGGCAGGAAGTGGTTTACAGGCAAACTGATAATTTGTGCAGCGAAAATGAAGAGAAACAACAGTGACTGTTTTTGCATTTCAACATTGTTTGGGCAATAACAAGAAAGATGGAAACAGGTTTTTGCTTTCCCAAATTTGAAGCGCGAGTAAAAGATACAAGATTTGTTTAGTTTCACTACTCTTTCCCAGGCTAAACAAGGCTGGTTTTTCACAAGGCTACTTCTTATCGATAACCGGCTGTCATTGAGAAGAAAATTGGATATATCAATATATTTGGAATACATTTTTTTGTCAACATACATTGCCAACAGCAATGAAACACGAGCTAAATTCCCAGCACTCATTCTTCCACACACTCTGGCACAAAAATTAAAATTACTGTAAAACTGGAGTGCATGGATGTGCATTCTAACCTACTTGTGCAAATCTTTACAAACAATACTAGTTTGCTACTGCATCAAACGCAATGCCATTTTTTTGGAATGGAGAAATAAAAAAAAACCTTTTTTCCCCTTTCAGGTGCAACATTATAGTTACCCTCCACCAGAGCACAGAGCGGAGAAAATCTCTCAATGAAAGATTGTTACCTTCGCCGTCCATATTAGGACTTAAAGTTTGACTCTCACGACGCAACTTATTGGACACTACTGACACTGTATAAGTAAAAAAGGAAGAATAAAGCATCATTCGGATTTGTCCAGATGCATGCACACAACCCGGGACTGCCTTTTTCCAGGTTTTGACTGCAGTCCACTATGACGCTTTTCATGAAATAAAAAACACACACTTCCTTGCAGTCGTATCTACTCTGTGAAGGAACAAGAGATGGCGCATTCTTGCAAAGCAATGATATCCCTTTGCTGGGAACTCGGGTTTGTACGGGTTGGGCTCAGGATGCACTGAGCACAGATAACCAAATTTGGCCTGAATGTAGGATCTTCATGTATAGACGCATGCTCAATCCCAACTGAAAGACTTCCAACCTGCCCGGCTCGTTCTTGACAGTGAGAGGGTACTTCTTGCTGTTGGATCCAGCATTTACAAAAAAAGTGGGAGTGTACCTGGTGTTTGGGGTACCCAAAATGGAGGTGGACTTGAAAATACATTTTGGCGGGGTATGTCTTTAGTAATAACTTGTCTTTAAAATAATCAAATGACCAATTGAGAACAGAAAAAAAGCAATGACAAAGGGCAAGGTCAAAGGACTGACAAATGGGAGGGGGGTGCTGGTTGGGCCTCCAGTTCGTTTGGTTCATAATGCTGGGTGTTTATGGCATCAGAGTTATTCACCATTGGGTATCCAAACTCAAGATACAAGCCATGAACTGCATCAAACAACTTTGTGTTTTACCAACAATAACAAAAGCACAACGAAGGGCCTTCTGGGTATAATTTCTTGACTAATATACGCAAGACTGTGGAGTAACAGGAAGTATGGTTGAGAGGATAACGAACCACATCTCTCACACTCTGCACAAAACTGGGCGACCGAACTGCAGATATTCAAGGGCTGTAGGCAGAAGCTTCCTCTGTTATCTAGCAGAAGATTGCCATGACAACCCTGTTGCAGCCCCAATGAAATCCCAAATTGCTTCAAAATTGACTAGCAGTTAACAGCTTTCTGATCTGGGAGTGGGAAGGGGCACCTGGTATATACCGACCATAAAAATGAATAAAGAATTCTTTGGTCACAAGCTCATTAACACAATAGAGTACCGAAGTGAATATGTGACACGCACAATTAGTGTGTAAAAGGCATTAGCGTGAGAACCAGCGCGTGAACGAACATGCGCGCATACTCCATTCGTTTGCACTGCACTTTCTGGTTCACAGTGACGTCACACTTCGGTACAATGCCAGCACTCATGCGACCCAATCACCCAAGCGGTTGGCTTGCTGGAGCATAAATAGCACACCCATTTCATGGTGTGAAACGGATTCTAAGAATGATTCTAGGAACCAGATTCCCAAGTTGTTCATGGATACTTTCTTAACCACAGATGAGAATAAGGCACAGAACAGATCTGAAGACTACGCAAAACTATTCACATAAATAATTACATTATAATCTAAATTTATATTTTGAATGATAAGAATCAAAACACCGAAATAAAGAAAATGCCAATGTGGAGGAACACAAGCACTGGCATAGACAAAGCACTGTTTAAAAAGCACTAGTTGGATTACATTGTTAGGAAGAGCAAATCTTGATTAAAAACAAAGAAGGCATATACTGAAAATAAGTTTTGGCAGTTGTAAATTAGATAGAAAAATGTACGGAGGAAACAAGATTAACGAGACAAGGTCCTGCAGAAAAAAAATGGATGAAAATAATGTAAAGAATGACAACGTGAAGCAAAACTGTATTAAAGCCAAAATTGAAAGCCACATTCAAGAGGGTGGATGCTCAAAAAGCCACTTCTTTTAATAAGCGACTGTGGGGAAATAAAAACATAAGTGGTAATGAGAAATCTCATATGAGCAAAATTGTACGGTACAGCTGATGATAAAACAATATAAATCAATCAGCACAAGTGACCACTTTTGCCAAGCAGAAACTTGAATTGAGTTGATGATGAAACATAACAAAGCATGGCCTGTTACCCAGAAGCAAAATGTTATGGTTAGCATTTCAAATCTGGACGACAAAATGAAACTGAAGGGGAAAATCAGTATCTATCATTATGTGAATGGGTCTGAGGAAAAGGGGCAAAGTGTCACAAAGTTGACCAACAGATCAAATTGTTGATTGACAGTATTCTTTACTGCCAACAATCCCTGTACGGGAGAGGTCAAAAGATTCAAAGAGTTTGGAGCAAATTTGATCAGGATCCACCGATCAAACATAGTCCAAGACTGGTCCAAGACTGTGTAGTAAATCTTTGACACTCTGCTCCATTTTCTCAGTCTTAAAGTCAGATGCTTGAAATTCAGGCACAGATGAGCAGCGTAAACACTAAGTAAACTTACTTGTACATTAATTTCACAAATTTCTGTCCTTTGAACTTTTGAAAACAGATCTTATCCTTTCATTGTATGACAAATGAATCATGTTAACACAAGCAGGGATTGATCAATGAAACAAACTCGAGGAGACAATAAAAGCACAATGATCATACAAGTACTGTATGTTACAAATGTCAGCTTACGTTCACTTATGACCGTTGCTATGGCAATATGAGCACAACATAACCAAAAATCAATCAATAAATAAGGACACATGTTGGATCGTTCCCGGCCGTGATGAAAAAGCGATGAAGGCAAATGATGATGAAGGAAGAGCAGTAAGCCAGTTTTATGTTACCTTCGTGATCTTCGGACGAGTAAAGGTCATTATCTTTTTCATCAATCTGCAGCAGCTGAGATCGTTTGCTTGCTTTGCGGGAGACTGGTGTGATACAATATTGTAATAATAAAAGGCATCAGTTGTTTTATTTCATTTTGTTTTAAAAAGTCTCGAGCTGCTCTCTCTCTCTCTCAACAAAAATGATCAGTAAATGATTTGCATATAAACCCTGGGGGGCTGATAATGTCCTGGATGGGTTAGTGTATCTTGATTATGGTTAGTACACCTCGATTCCACGGATACTGTCTTAATGAGAATGGGTAGGGATCTAGGTCAGACAAATCAATTACACTCAAACATGCAACGTCTGAGACTAACGACAAATTGTACAAACCAAATTTATGAGTGCATCCTACTGGCCTCGGGGACATTTTCAGAATATTCTCAGTCTTTGGGACCCATTAAGATTGGTACATACTTCATGTGAATGTGAATTCCATAATGCCAGCCTCTGTCGTTTCAATCAGAAGGTTGGTGCCGTAAAAGGCATTTTGCCTTTACCAGAGAGATCTCTAATGTTTGATATCTCGCTTTAGGACACAACGTGACCAATGGGAATATATGACTGTTTAGTCGGCACATTATAAATAACAAAATTCGACAGCTGAAAAGTCCTGAGGCATTTCTTGGGCTGAACACAGCGGTGAGAAAGTTTGGGCAGCTTTCAGAGTAATCCCAGGCTCTTGTAAAGGAGCCACATTTTGGAAACAGCTGTGGTGTTTTTGAAGTTACTTGGTCAAACATAAAGAATTCTCAGCTGTAACAATAAAGTGCAGCCAATTTCACAAAATTTGGCCTCAGTGAAATTCCACCATTGCGTCAAGTTTCATGAAGTCAGCTGCTGGTGTTTTATCCCTGATCTGCCCATAGACACTGGCAGATCCAGGCCTTGGTTTATTATCTAGCATGAGATATTTTATTCAATTAGGGATAAAAAAATTATTAAGAACAAGATGGCTGAAATGTAAGTGTTGTTAGGAGAGGATATGCTTGGGTAATGCATTTGTAGATGATGAAATTAGGAACTGAAAGGAAATCATCTTGTTCAATACCTCCTCGTGTTACTTTGGTGACATCAGAGACAGACACCTCACTGTCTATCGATGACTGGCTGTTCAACCTCCGACCTGCCCCTGTGTCCAAAGTCATAAATTCACATCTACATGTACCTCTAACCAACCATGATGGCAGTATGCCCTACATACAACCCCACGGTGGCTGGCTGACCGTGTGGTTATTGCAGAGAAAATGAGAAATGCTTGATACCGATGTTAATGTCGCAAAAACAGAGGAAATCTTATTTTGGATCTGGAAGGCTTTCCTTATGCCAAAAATGACACTTCTAGTTTTTCGAGCAATTTCAAAACGTTGTTAATTCAGAAAAACAAACACAATTTAAATCACACTGGACAATGGTGTAATGCCTTTCATGTTTGGAATTTGCATGACACTTTGAAAGATTAAATAAAAATAATAAAAATAATACAACATACCAAAACAAAACTGTAATTTGTTCTAGGTGGGCATGTATCAGTACTGAATGAGAAGTTTGGAACAAAAATTAATGCATGAGCTTATGTGACCTGCTTGATAGAAAAGAAGTTACAGCAGCAACAGTAAACTGCGTGAATGGAGAATTAATGAAATCCGCTTTCATGTGGTGTATCACTGGCCCGCCTGACACATTCAGTTGCACTGGTGTTGAAGCATTCGTCATCATCCCATTTTTAAAACTTTGCATTAAAATGTCACTCCAGCATTTCTTGGAAAAACGATAGGGAAAACTAATACGTTTCAAAAACGAAGAAAAAAAGAGAGCAAAAGCACTGTCACTCTTTCAGTCTTCTTCTGACAAAATTAATTTTTTTGCTTGCAATCTGAACTGAACTGTCGGCTAGCAAGAAGCTGAATCCTCACCAACTGACTTTCAAATGACAGAAGTTTGAAAACTCGCAACATGTAAACTCTTTTTTGAAAGCAGGTCACATACATGAACACACTTGCCAAATGTTAAAGTATGAGTCATTGAAGTAGGCGTCATCTGCTGTTTTGTCATGATGTCTTGAAAGCTGAATAAATAAAACAAGCAATACAACAGCGGGGGTGGGGTGAAGTGGTCATGTCTGCTGAAAATTATAACCAATATCATGAGGTAACTGAGATTTCAAACCCCTAGCTCCATTTAGAAAAAACCATTTGAAAACAAACGAATTTGTCAATCAACTGGTCCTTTTTCAAGACGTTATCAGGTGATCTGAAATTCAAGTGATCGAATGGAGCTGAAATTGTAAAAGTTTGAGCACTGCTGTGTTTAATGTTAGGTCACGAAAAAGAACAAAGTTGTTGTCATGAAATTTAAGAATACTGGGTTATTTGAAATTAAAAGTTTGACAATTGTGACAAGTGAAGAGTTTATCACTTGCAGGAAAGCTGCACAGGCTCACCGCTCATTCCTTTTTTGTTAACATTAAATCGCTGTTAACAATACTTTCACTGAAATCGTGGAATGAGTGGAGTTTGGTCATCTACTTCAAAGACAAAACTATTTTAGGTTTTGTCCCTGTTGGACGGTTTTAGTTCATTTGGCATTTTCCACCTTCCCTGGCTCAGCCGATTCAGATATGTACCTGGCAAATGTCACAAAAGGCTTGATTCAATTGTAGGTACTGCCTGTTTGATGTAAATGCATATTGGCTTTAAGCAATGCTCTGTGCTGCTATTTGCATTCAAATGTCATAATACTGATGTGTCATCATAAATCATCATAAATGAAAATCTGGCATAGTTCTTCTGATTTAGGGTGTGTGAGTGGGTAAGTGTGTGTGTGTTTAAAATATTTCCAAAGTGTGAGCCAGCATTTCTGTTACCTTTGATAACATTCTCAGAGTATCGACTTCAAAGCTACCCTGGGAATTGACATGCACTTGTGCCAGTATTTTTTTATGTTATACAACTTTGCATAATTTGTTTTATGATCAACATGTGCTGCAGAGATTTGTAACCAGCACTTTTGACGACGGATAAACATTGTTCTAAGGTGAACCATAAATAAGACATGTAACCTTCATCAGTCAATTTATGCTGACAATTTAACAAAGGATACAATTTGTGCACTGTTTTTAAATGCCAATTGTTATTCCACAGATATACGGGTGCAGTTTTAAACACATAAAATAATTCTTAAAAATCTATATAAATTTTGCAGACATTGGGTTCCACCAAACCCAACTGAACAAAAAAAATGTCATCAAAGAAAACTTTGCAAGAAATATTAGCACCTGGCTTAACAAAAATGACACTGTTTAAACTGGACAATACCCTTTTTTTGGTTTTGAACACAAAATATTAAATGAGAGCTACAGAATGATACAATTTCACTAAGGTCCTGCTGGCTGTTGTAGCTTGAGGAAAAATGATTAATTTGAAGCTAAATGAGCATTAAAAAGGAACGTCAAACTGCCTGCAAAAAAATGTTTATAATTAGTAAATTAGTTACAAGTGGAGAAAAATTCGGACACCGACTTGCTTTGCTGGAATAAGGCATGAAAATGAGACTCTTGCAAAGATCTAAACTTGGCTGAAATAGAAACGGAAACTCTACAAACAGAAGGCTGGAAAAAAAAAGAATATGACTGTACATATTATCAAAGCACGAGTTTGCCACATCTCTCTCTCGACGTAGAATTTTTTTTTTAATTTCGTGAGCTTTGGACAGCTAACTGGTTCGATGACCAAGGCTTTTTTCCTTCACTTTTGGTAAGATTTCATCAATGAAAGATATAAATTTATCTCCCCAGACTGTATTAAACAGAAACGTTAGCTGCTTTGGGCAACATTCACTAACAAACAGTAGCAACCGACAACTCCTTTGGAAGGCCAAACATGTTGGGGAATCTTTTTTGTAGGAATAAGAATTTGAAAGTAAGGTCAAAGTCGTGCTTTAAAGCAATGCACTCATCTACAAGCTATGTTGTGGACAAATTAAAATGGAGAAATCACTTCTGCTCATCAAAGGGCAGCATCTTAGAACCACCAGCCTGGGAAGTGACTTTGGGGTTGTAGAATTGGCAATATGTATTAAGAGGATGAAAGGTCACATCAATTTACCGGCTCCTCATTTCAGAATGTTGAATTTCTCTGCCTCCCCCCCCCCAAAAAAAGTTTTCCACTGCCTAAAAACAAATCTTGCATCTTACAGGGAGCCAGCTTCTAATTATTACATGAGTGCCACTCATCTGCACATTCACTATATGATACAGGAAATACAAATCTAGACCAAGGACTGGTAATTTACATGTATGCCCAATCTTATCCATTCTTTTTCAAAGAATGTCTTGTTTCGGGGGGGAGGGAAGGGGGGTCAGGTTTTGCACTTATTCTTTGTTAGGAGTGGGCGGGAGGGAGTCTAACAGCTGCCCTTCGGTGAACTGAGGTGAACTAAATTCTACGCAGGGAAGAAAGACGGAAATCATGCTATCCAATCCTTCAAGCCGGCCAGTCAGGCAAGCAGGCAGGCTACCTCGTCTGGAAGTTCTCTGGCTCGGCACAAACTCGTAGTCCTCCTCATTGATGTCAAACGATGAGTGGGAAGAGAACGAGGAGCCACTGGCTAGACGACCCCTGCCTACGACATCAAGCATTCAGACGGAAAAAAGAAGGCACACAAAAAAGAGTGCATGAAAGCCTCTTCTTTTTTTTTCACTTTTAAAGCATGTTTACATTTTGCATTCCTTGGGGCTGCCTATACATGTTCCTGTACACAAGACAATCACCTCCATGGACTTACTCTTATCGAGGGGAAAAAAACAGAAGCGATTTCATCAGAATGGTGCACAAAAGATAAGAGTGGGCATTGATCCACAAGATGGGGGGGGGTTTAGATATAACAGAATGTGCAGTTCTATCAGAAATGTGCCACGGCTTGCAAGAAGTTTTTGCTGCTGTTGCAGCTGTCAAACGCACAAAGCAACGAGACCAAACATGAAGATCAAATGAAAACTCCTGGATAAGATGTGAATTAGCAAAAAAAGTACAGGAGATAAGATTAAAAAAACCTTCAATTCTACACACACTGTGCAGTGGTGCAACTGGGGTACCCTGAGGGTTGGGGGAGGGAGGCTTGGGGACCTGATTTTCTGGAGGGGGAATAGATTCAATCATACAGTCTTTCATCACTGACCAAGGAAGACTATTCCCAGGTTTTTTCCTTCTCTAAATTCTGAGCAGGGGAAAGGGAGGGGGGGTCAATTATCATTCACCTGTGACCCTGCAGGTATAGGAACAGCATCCTTGCAGAACACCCACAGCCTTTTCTCCCCCATTAATTGAGGTCTACTCACGATTTCTACACTCTTTCAGGTTAAATTTTAACTTCTAAATAAAAAAAATTACAAATAAGACAAAAAGGAAATAAATTAGTTTTCAGATTAGTAGTATATTTGCAAAGAACATTGTCTTCTCTCCTGGTATAAATTTGTGTTAAGCGGCATAAAGTAAAATCAAGACAAGCTAATAACAGGAAAGTATTTTTAAGAAACCAACTGAAGCTATAAAATACAAGAAGCCAGATAATACGTTTGCCACCTAACAAATAAAACATAAAGAAAAATATGTTTGTCACCTAACAACTAAACCATAAAGAAAAATGATCCTCTCTCAATTAAAACTGGTTAAAGCATGTGAAAAATATTAGTCCATAACAACTATGTTGCCAGGTCAGTGTCCCGCACATTAGTTTCAGCACACTCTGTGCAACCTCTGAGCTGAAATCTGTGTTTGCTGAGGAGAAATCCATGTCAGCTAAAGAACCTAAAATATCTTCATCTCTTCTCCAATGGATCAATCAAGATGGCAGCAACAAACTAACATTAACAGTTCTGACTGAAGAAGTTTGTTCCGTAGATCAAACGGCTCCACAACGACTCAGCGGTTGGTGGTTGACTTGGATGACCGGAGTGGCTGCCAGAGTAGGCAGAGATGCCCATAATGGGGCTGCTCTACAAGATGATCAAAAATGGACCTCTGGCCAGAATGAACCTAGCCACTACAAAGTTCATTGCTAATTATTTGTTTCATTCGACATGTAGCTCGATATCCCTAAAGGAGCCTTCAAGACATTCTTGCCCACAAAAGTGTTTTTACTCTGCTTCAGGAAGAGAACAAGAAGTTTTACTCAGATGGACATCCAAATGGAAATGGGCCTTATGCGATTGCAAACCACTGACAGCTCCCCTTGATTTTCGGTGCACAAGATTTGTTTAAAAGCCAGCAACTCCAAAATAGCACTGGTAACCTGTGGCTGGTTTTGCTGGGATGAGCCTGCAGTTTGCTGCACGTCTGCCTGAAAGAGCGAATGTGTTTGTGTCAGGGTGGTCTGAACAGCCAAGCAAGAAGAAATTTCCCACCGTACCTCCTGCCCACGCAGCTCGTTTTTATTAAAGTGAGGCACGCTTTAAAGAATCAACTAAAATGGTGTGGCACAAACAATTGCCCCCATGCAGTTTTGTATCCTTCTAATGGCGGTACCCCTAACTTGCTCCCCATGCCGTATGCCCTCAAAAGAAACCAACTCATCCTTGAATGTCAATTCAATCATCGTTTTGTTCCGTCCCATCTCACTTGGCATTGAACAGAAAAGGAAGCTTTTTGGCATTTTACATTAAATGGGTATGACCTTCTGCCCCAATTCCCAATTCAATTCAGAAACGTTTTGCCAGTTCCATAGTTTCCTTTGATTTTCTTCAAAATCCCTGAAAACAATTACTTTCTGGGCAAATGTCTTGAAGACAGGAACTGAATCGTGATTCATCTTAAAGTGACAGTTACGGGGAAAAAGCTCTACTGATGTAACTTTATCATCCTTTTGCTTACATGGATTTCTCCTCATCGAGAACAAGATAAATAAAAAATTCAAGGTTAGTATAAAAAATGCAAAAAGAAAGAAACGATAGGAGGAGAGAGCTGTTGGTTAGTTGCCTTGCAGGTACCCACTAGGCCTGGAGTATTTGTTATCAACCTCCCATGGAGATTTCTTGAAGTTTACCTTTGCGTTCGCCTTCTTTAGATGCCTTCTTTTGAGCTGGAATAAAAAGATTTTTTAATTAGAAAAGTAAGTATAATTACAAAAATTCAGCCATGTATGATATTTTGTCACTGGATCTGACATGCAACACACAGCAGGGTCACCATAGAGTTACATTACGGTTACACTGGTTAGGGTTACATTATGGAACTGCAGGCACATTGTGTAATTGTCACTGATGGAAATAATATTGACAGTCCGTTTACTTTTCTAATCCCACAAACGTCACAGTTGGTCTTAACATACTAGAGTATTTCTTATGTCAGATCCAAAGGTGTGAGATAATGCCGGGGGATATTCATGGTGTAGAAGTGAGACGGTTAGGGACTCTTAAAAGGGGAGAGTTTCGGATTACTGAGTGATGTCTCTGTATTCCACAAATTCCTCGACACATACATATGCACCTGTCAAAGCAAGCCACAAGTTGAAATTTCATCTTTTAGTTCTAGTTTTCAATCAACACAGTGGGACGAACTTCCAATGACTTGAAGCAATTTTGGAGTTTCTCTTTAAGATACACAAATTAAACTGCAAACTGCACATCATTGTAGATTTCAGTCCACTTTAACAGAATGGTAAAAAATCTGAGCAACCTTTTCAAAGGAGAAGACGTTGGTTTTGGTTTCTACTACGCCAAACAGAAAAGTTGTTTTCTTTTGACATGGAGGTAAACTGCAAGGGTTTGAGCATAGAAGATGACCCTTTTTGCTTCACTTGCAGTTTAAAAAACGTGAACACACCTAGGCTTCTCAACAAACATTCAGTTAGTATACGTGATGTGAAGGTACACAAAAACAGCACAGAGATCTCTTAGTTTAATATTCAAAAACATGATATTGTAAAACTTGAGGATGTGGACAGTTTGGGCCAAGTTGATTTAAAATACCGTCAATGAATAGCAGACTATTCATTAACTACTGGTAATGGATTACAGTGTACAGATATGCAATCGGCATTTGACAATACTGTATTAATGCTTCATCATTCCAGGGATTTTTGGTTCTCATTTATGACTTTTAAAATAAAAATGCCACAGGAAGTGTGCATTATGAATCGAAAGACAAGGAAGCACCTGAAACCGAGGGGAAGAATTCTTATTACTAAGTCTCCGTCGAAAGTCAACACAATAGACATATAATTGATAATCAAGTTACAGGCACAGACAAAGCTGTTGAAGTTAAGCAAATCAAAGTGAGTGGCCTTTCCAATCAATTTGTGAATTAATGATTGACATAGGCCTGACTCAATATTGGTTTCTCTTTGAAACAGTGTTTACTGATAACATTGAAGGACACTTTTTATTAATTATATGAATCTCATGATAGCATGGTGTTTTTGAATTTTGTTCACACTGCTCATATAAGAAAAAAAATTATGCTTCTGATCACATCTTTGGTTGAGCCAATATGTTAATTTTTCTGTAATTATTATTTTCGAGTAAAAATGGAGAGAAAAAATGCATTTTATAAAATATGAATTCATTCCCATCAAGAAGTCCCGGAAAAAATTTCAATATATCAATTGCTAAATGGCAAATGAAAACAAACCTGTTGGGCTGTTGAGCTGTAGAAAGCTACTGCTCAAATTTTTTAATGGTTTAAAAGAACCCAGAAAATATTCTCACTTAAGTTCACCAACAGCATCTCTGTTTGATTTTTGTACACTGGGGTTTTGTAAAAGGCCTATTCATAAGACGTTGCTGAATTCTGTTGGATTCAGAAGCACTTACAATTTGCAGTTGTTGGATTTGGCTGGCCTTACTTTTTGATGTTGTTGGATTCTTTGGATTTGACTTGCCTCCTTTTTGATTTTGTTAGATTCTGTTGGATTTGGCCGGCCTTACTATTTGTTATTATGGTAATCTGTTGGATTTGGCAGGCTTTACTATTTGTTACTACTGTCATCTGTAGGATTTGGCCAGCCTTACTATTTGTTA